GCCCCCCCCCCCCCCCCCCCCCCCCCGGGAACCCCGGAGGCTGGAAGGCAGCTCCCTGGAATTTCGGCGCCCTCTGGGCAGGTGGAGGCCGTGCCGCAGTCTCCTCACCCGCACTTCCCAGTCGGCTGAGCCTAACCCGGTGCAGGGCTGGAGGCTGCGCGCCGGAGTGCTGGGCGCTTGCGGCGGGCGCTGGCTTCCCCGCGCCGACGACGCGCAGCGGCCGGGCTGCGCAGAGGTGGGAAGCGCCAAGCGTGTGCCCAAGGAACGTGGCGCCTCCTCCAAGCCCGAGCCGGCCTCATCGGCTCTTTTCCCTCAGCTCCATTCCCCAGAGGGGGAAACTGAGGCAGAGACCGGTTGTTGTCCTCAGTCCTCCTGTATCTGTTCCTTTCAGGAGCCAGGACCTAGACAGCGCTGGGGGGCCCTCCCCACACCCCCAACCCCGGAGTGGCAGAGGCGGCGGAAGCACAGAGCACAGGGTCCACATCTGGGCGCACAGCCTTCCAGCACTGAGCGCGCGCCTGGGCGCCGAGCCAGTGTCCCTGCCTACCCTGGGGGATGACACGCCTGCCTTTCAGGTCCTCGTAGGATTCCAGAACACCCGCGCCCGGGACCCGGGGCGCTCAGCTGAATCGCTTCCAGCAGCTTGCCAGGGTCACCGCTCCAAACGCCGACATTACCCTCCTGTCCAGCAGCGGCCTCCCCAGCGGTCCAGGTGCAGGAGCCTCAGGCCCTGCCCAGGACTTTCCCGGTCCGGGGAGGGCGGCGGCGGCGGGGCGGGGCTGCGTAGAGGCCCGAAGGCCGACAGGACAGCAGGAGCACGGCCGGCGCTGCCGACACAGCCACAACCGGGCCACACGGTTAAGAGCGCACGGTGCGGGAGCAGGCTCCTGTTGCTAGAACCGTCTAATTTTCAAGAGCAAGTGGAGCACACTCCAGATTCCTCTGGGTCAATCGTGATAGGGCCCAGCAGCTGGAATTAGAGCTCACGCCGCACCGCTGTCAGTTTTCTCCGGAAAGCGAACTCTTTTCTCCCAGAAGGGCTCTCGAGTGCACACCTAGCCTCTCAGTGTACACGCCCCACTTAACCAAGGTAAGATACAACGTTTAAAGTACTTTTTGCTGTTTAAACTGTAATGCCACGCTTTTGGGGTTTTTTTTGGTGAGGAAGATTGTCCCTGAGCTAACATCTGTGACCATCTTCCTCTATTTTGTATCTGGGACGCCCCCACTGCATGGCTTGATGAGCCGTGCGTAGGTCTGCGCCCAGAATAGGAGCCCGCAAACCCTGGGCCACTGAAGCGCAGTGCGCAAACTTAACCGCTGTGCTGGGGGACAGGCCCTGACATGCCATGTTTTAAGTTAATATATATTTGTGTAAAGGAAAAAAACTGTACATTATAACTTCAAAATGGAAACAATTACAAAATTATCATAGCTGATAGTTTAAAAGCACTCTACAAATCTAGAGAAAATACTGCATTTTTACTTAGTTGAAAAGCAAAATAGCCTTGTTGGCTGGTAAAAATATACCTTCTTCGAAGGGGGAAGAATCACAGGGAGACCAGAAAGACGAAGCCTCCACTGGGCACTGTCAGAGCCTTTATGGAGCATCCTGACTTTACTCCACACGAAAGAATTGGTCAATAATTTCCTCTAATTTGTATGTAGCTTAAAATCTTTTAGCTTCTTCAGCAGTGAACCCACGTTGACAATACCTCCCTCTGGGCAGCTCCCCTTGCTGCCCCTTCTCAGCAGATCTCAGCCTCCCACGGGGCTGAGCCCCCTGCCGGCTTAGGAAAGTAAGTGTAGCTTACAAATGGCTTTTACTTATAATCTTGAAATAAAAGTAACAAAACACTTAGTGATGTTTTTATTATATTAACATTCTCAGGGTGAGTTAACCCCTGAGCCCTAAGCAACAATATATTCCTGAGAGATTTTATAATTCTGGTGCCTGAAATAAAGACAAATAGAAAAGTGTGTTAAAACATGAGAAAGTTGCAAATTTTCATTAAAAGTATTTACATTTGTATTCTAATACCACATTTATAGACACAACTTTTAAATTAATAGAATATTTTGAAATATGAAAATAGAAATATTGTTAAATAGCCACAACATATTCATGAATGAAAATTCAATTTTAATTACTGTTCCAAATTTAGATATTTATTTATGAATGGCCAAGGGATCTTACAGTTCCTTTTTAATTTTTTATCCTCTATTCTTGGTTCCTTCATAGTACATAACTCTGTAAAGCTTTTAATAGCCACTAATCACTGCCAGGAGTCATTTCAACATAAATGCATGATTTCTCTGTGACAAGACTAACCTGTTTTCAATGCACCCAATTTTGTCTGTCAATCACTAAAAATTAAATATTTTTATAAATATTTTGTTACAATATATAGAAAACATGACATATGTATTTCTTAAGTTTTAATTGGAGAGAGAGAATAATTTCCCGGTTGACTTTCCCCGTTTGTTTTATTTGAAGAAGCGTTTTATCTGTGCTTCAAACGTGGCCAGACGACAGGAGCCAGCAGCTTTGCGAAACCAGGAAGGATCATTTTACAGTTAACCCGGCATCTGTACTCTGCTTTTCTAGGAAAGCTTCACCTTATTCCTCCTCCACACTTACTTTTTAATAGAGCATCTTTTTGAAGGTAATTCTCTTGATCAGTCTCACTCTGGCTGTATTTTGAGTTAACCATATGAGAAGGTATTAGTTTACCAAGAATGCAGATTGATTAGTGCATATTCATGGTCACTAGCTGTTAGTTTTCTAAAATAGATTTTGTTGTTTGACAAGGTTCGGCATTAAAAATATTTATACACTAACAGGGTAGTACCAATCTCATCAATCCATGCATTTCCAGCTGGCGTGTGGAAAGCCTGCCCGTGCAGCGCTCAGGAGGAAGGCGCGCCGGGCACGTGGCGGGATGGGGAGGCCAACTTCCTTGGTCTCCAGTTGCCTTGGCCTCAGGGGTTTGTTTCCGAGCAGACTTCAGACAAATGCCGGCTTTCCCCCCCACTGCCAGACATGAAGCAAGGTGGACCACTTCCCCGGGGCACGAGGGCTGGGCAGGAGACTGGGTTTTGAGGTTTGGTTTCATCATTTTAAGCGACGTTTTGGTGTTTTAAGTATCATATGAAGTGTCTGGGAAAGTGGACTCACAGTTGATTACAATGTGGATTTGAGGGGGACAGGGGGACAGCCCGAGCCTGGCGGTCTGAGTCTGCGGTTCTGTGTTGAAGGCCCCCTTGTGAATGTTAAACAAAGTAGAAGTGACCACGTGCTGGAGTCAGGACAATGCACCGCCCCGAGGGTTTCAGAAGGGGCTGTTCTGAGCGACGACACCGGTGGCTGGGTAGCCCAGGATAACCGGTGGGAAGTCATTTCATCATTGTTTTTAGCACTTCGCACGTGTAAAGACTGTGAAGGCCCCTGAGGAAAAGCATGACGTGACCCACACCAGTGTGACCTCAGTTCCCCTGGGACTGACTGTGGGGTGGGGATGGGGGCTGGGGGGGGGTCTGCCACGAGGGCAAGTCTGCCAGAGACAGAGCACTGTGCACGGAGCACCTAGCAGGGTGAGTGCTGACGGGCACCAAGTCTCAGGAACGCGTGTTTTTTACCTTTATTTTTTGCTCTAGTGGAAACACAGTTGTGTGGGTACTGACCGCCCTCCTGCCCTGCGAGGAGGGGCAGTGAGCAGATGGCCGAGCAGACAGTGCCTGCGGGAGGAGAAGGCACAGGGAGATCCTCGAGCATGCCGCGGCTCTCAATCGTGTCACTGCTTAGCAGCGAGCAGAGCCCTGCGGACCTTGCACCCCGTGGGAGACCAAACGCGGAGGTCACAGTGAAGCTCCGGGGGTCGCTCCAGGCGGTTGTGCACAGAGGACGCTGGGCTCGCACTGTGCCCTTCACACACGGACCTGCCCGGCCACTGCGCTCAGTGAGCTCCCGGCCAGGAGGCGGACCCTCTCTGAACAGAACGACTCCTCCTCTGTTGACTCTGCGCCTGAGAAGGCAGAGGCCTGGCAGCTTGAAACGACAGCGAGACCAGCTCCTAACTGGGCTGCAGGGCTTTGGTCAGTTCCACACACGGTGCCGACAAGGAAGGACGAGCACGGCCAGGAGCTGAGGGACGGCAGGGGTGGGCACGGGGGCGCCACATCCAAAGGTGGTTTTAGGAGAAATGGTTCACAGTCAGGAAACTCGCTCTGTCTCTCATGGAGACAAAGGAGACGGACGGAGTGCTGTCATCGCTTTGTGTATGTCCTGCCAGAGCCCTTACTCAGGCCTCCCTTTGGGGTTGGGATCTTGCTTCCGGCCTTTGGTCCTGAGGTCCCTGATTTGGTCACAGCTGGGCTTTTACCTGCAGCGTACGCACAGACACACAGAGCACAGGCACGGAGTTAGAAGGGGACTAACACACGAGTCAGAGGGCAAGACCTCGGCAACAGGATGTGTGGCCAGGCGTCATCAGACACGGGGGGAGGAACAGGACACGAGGGCTGTGACACTCGTCACCTGTCTAGGGGTCGGCCTGAGCGTGCGGGGGTCTCAGGCCACAGGTGGCTGGGCTGAGCCGGGGAGTGTGAGAAGTAGCCGTGCCGGCCACTGAGGAGGCGGCACGTGTGATGGCAGGGAGGAAGGCCGGGGAGCTCGGAGGAGCGCCTGACACAGGGTCAGAAGAAAGAGTGGAGCCATTCACCTAACTGTTGGCTTCATGAGATCAGCTCCAGAAACAAGGAAAAGGAGCTCCCTCTGCCATGCCGGGGGGCAGGCCCTCCCGATCCCCGTCTACAGGAGGCAGTGGCGGAGGGCGGCCTGTGCTAGGCCCACCCAGTCCTTAGCACCGGCACAGACGAGTGCAGACACATGGGCTGCTGCCCTCGTGTTTCTTACAAACCCTAAACTCAAGCTCTGTATCCGGAAGGCTTCTGGTCAGGAATAATTTCCTAATGAAACGGTCATATTTCCCTGTAAGGGCTCTAAGGCTGACGTAAACTAGCCAGGGTGACGTTTGCAAGCCAGGTGGGAGCGTCGTGTCTGGGCCGTGATTCAGCTTCAGGTCTGTAGACCCTCTGGAGTTGGGGTGCAGGAAGACACCAGGAACCAGGCTGTGCCCCTCACAACGCCCAGTGAGTCTGGTTGGTTAACTCAAGGAATGCCGCCCACAGAGCCTTGGGGAAGAGCAGAACCAGGATGAAGGGGCCTGCGACAAGAGTTTGGTGCCAGCGAGAAGAATTCTGGTTACACGATTAACCTGCTCGTTAATTAAGGAACCAGAGATAGAACAGAAAGACGCTGGTGGGGCGCTCCTGACTGGGTGAGGATGGCGGGCTGGGAGCCGAGGGCACGGCTCTGACACGGGGCCTGGTCCTCACCCAGTGGCAGAGTCGGAGCCGTGTGCAGCACGTGTGTCTTGCGCAGGTTCATTGTGCAGCCGGCGGGGCCCATGAGGTGAGCTTTCCATGCCTGAAAGGAGAAAGGAGGCACGCAGTGTGTCAGTCAGGCAACCGAGAGGGACTTGGTGGCTCTTGCAGCATCTGAGACAACCTCCCATCAAAGACGAAACCAGAGGCAGCTACAGCTGCAGGAGGAGCGGCTCCTGAGCTCTCCGCACGCGTCCACGACGACCGCCTCCCAGCTGCTGATGAGCGCTGTGTGCAGAGCAAGCTCCGGAAGCCCCCGCGGCTGACTCAGTGACCACATGTGTCCCGTGCCCCCTGTGGACAGGGCACCCCGGCTGAGCCCTGAGCACAACAGCTCAGACTGCCATCACATAGGAGCGTGCAAATGTGCAATCCAGTTTAGGGAGTACATGGGGCAGGGGACTTTGGGTAGCTTCTAGGAGCTGAGAGTGGCCCCAGGTTGACAGCCAGCAAGAAAACAGGGATCTTGGTCCTCTAATGACAAAGAAAAGAATTCTGCCAGCAACAGAATGAGCTTGAAGGCGGATCCCTCCCTAGTGGAGCCCATGGAGGAGAAGGCAGCCCACCGACAGCGTGACTGCAGCCTGTGGCACCCTGAGCAGAGGGCCCAGCTGAGTCGTGCGCAGACTCCCGAGTGGAGGCTGCAGAAACTGAGAGATAATAAACGGGGGTTCAAGCTGCTAAATGTGTGGTGATGTGTTATGCAACACGGGTGACTCAAATATGTAGAAGGCAGAGGAAAGGCAGAACAAGCCTGGTGACTGCCGCATAGCTGTTTACCGTGGGCACGAGGCTGTCACTTCAAATCAGGTGTTGGGGGACACGAAGGCAAGGAGGAAAAGGAGGCCACCAGCTAATGTTTGCATTGCTCAGAGTAGGGAACCAACAGAGAGTAACCACACAGAAAGATGGGCAGCATGTGACAGTGTCAGTGTAAAGGTGGCAATCAGAACAAAACACAAAGGCTCTTCAATTCTAAAAATAAACAAGGAGAGAGAGAATGTGGGTGTGCATGTGAGAGTTGCTTTTATTAAAAAAAGAGGATAAACCATAAAAAAAATTTGTTCTGTAAGAGGACGGAAAGGCGAGCAGAGGCAGAGCCAGCAGCTTCTGTCTGGTCTTCTCTGAATATGCCTCACTGTATAGATTTTGCAACCATGCAAGTATTTTATATACTTATACAACTTAATTTTTAAAAATCCCCAAAGTTGCATATGAATATGAAAATGAAACTATTGAATGTAAACGAATTTCCAGTTGGTGGCATAACCAGGTGGAATGATTCCGAGTGCCGGTGCACAGAGCCGTCGACCCGCCTCACCAGTGAGCACACGTAAAGACAGGCAGAGCGGGGAGAGGACTTCCAGCAGTCGTCTCATGCCCGTAGTGCTGGCGCTGCTGCTCTGAGATGGTCTGTGTGTAAAGAGGGGCAAGGCCAGTGCATAATTTGCGATATTCTAATTCTAACATCTCCAGGGGCTTTGAGAACTGGATTCTTGAGAGGGAAGGAAGGAGATGTGAGACAGAAGAGGTTGAAGAAAACCCTGACCACTCAGGCTCTGAATCGGAAATGTCAACTGAACTGAAGATGTCTCTGTCTTGACACTCCCTGGTTCTGTCCACTGAGAGGCCAGCAACATGACCGGCCCAGGAGCAATGAGCATCTGAGGCAGCCGGTGCTGGTCTTGAAATACCGATTTCCTCTAAAAGGAACCAGGCCTCTCTGAAGAAATGGCTGCTCTCAGGTCTGTGGCACCGTGTTCACCAGATGGCCAGGAAGGTCGACACCCATTAGGGTCCCATCCATAACATGAGGAGCCCATGTGACAAGGCTACCCCGGCTGGAGGAGACGGTGCACGCATCACTGAGGGTGGTGACTGCAATGACTGGAGCACATCCAATAGCTTAACCCCATGAGTTCACAATGATACTAAAGCCAAAACAAAACAAATAAGCTACTGCTAGAACACCGTGGTGACCCAGCTTGTTAGTTAGAAAACCAGTCAACAATGGAAGAGAATTAAACATTTATCTTGCCTTTCCAGGACAAAGTCTAGCCCAGGCAGACTGAAGGGCAGAGGAGGGAAAGTTTCTGCTTAAAGAAACGTGCAAGCTAATGAGTGGAGAAGGAGGCAGAAGTGGGACATGTAGATTTTGTGGAGTCCCTAATGAGCTCGTGGATCTGGCCTGGAGAGTCAACAGCTGCTGACATCACACACGCCATGAGCCTCCGCATGAGAGCCCACCACCAACCATGAAGCAGCCACAGGAAGAGAAAGGCGTAAAGAGTCACACCTGTATCTGATCAGGCTCTAGTCAACCTCCAATTCACAGGAGATACAGAGGACAGAGACTCGTGTTAAACGACACCATGTGGGGTCCAATGAGCCAGTCCACATGATGGAAAACCCTACAGGACAAATGGCCGCCTCATCAAATGGTAAGAAAAGCAAGCATGAGAAGGAAGTTATTTAAAAACATACCAACCCATCTCAACGAGTGGGCGTGTGGGCCTTCTCTGGGTCCTGATGAACAAAGCCTCTGTGGCTACCTGGAGAAGGCCTTATGTCTAGAGCCCTGTGGTGGGACGTTTAGAGAGGAAGCCACCTGCTGTCTTGGTGTGCTTCAACACAACGTGAGAGGGGAGCAGGCAGGTGGGGGTGGGGCTGCAACAAGGAGCTATGAGCGAGTTATTCAGGGGCATGGGGCCGACAGGGAGCTTTATTACGGAGCTGACATTTTCTAAGAGAGAGGATGAGCCTTGGACAACTGGATGGATGAAAGGGCTGGGAGCAGCTGGGGGAAGCCTGTACCTGCTGTTTCATAGGTGGGTTTTCTGTGGTCAAGAGGAAGCTGCAGGGCATTGCTGGGTCTGGGCCATCTTGCTGGCACCGCATCCCAGGGGGCTGGCACAAGGAGAGCCCAGCAGCAGGATGCTGCGGCTGGACTGCAGGTGGCAGTGGCTAAAGGGGATGACGCAGAAGTGGCTGAGCCAGAGGCAGGTCTCCAAAACTGGGCCCTGGGCGGGCCCCACAGGGGCTCAGCATGGCTGTCTGGCACAGAGAGGGCATCACCTGCCATCGTGTTAGCCAGAATGACCAATATGGAGTCTCTGACTCCCTGTGGTCCCTCCTCCTTGTCCCCAGCTCCAGAGGAGCAGGGCACATGGGGAAGGAGAGGGTGGGAATGGAAGACCTTGCCTACTTTCACCCAAGCCACTGAGTTGCAAGCTAACTTATACTGGGGAAGGGAGGAGAGCCTGGATCAGATGTAAAGCAGAATTTCCAAACTGGACTGGGCTCAGTTTTATTATTCAAAAGGGACCAGCGTGTTACAGAATCTGGCTAAGATGCCATTTAGGGCCCCAAATATAGATGAAAGCAATGACCAGGAAAAAATAAAACCATTTCCTGCTCATGTTCCAAAGAGCTGAGACTCCTCAAAGAGACATTTACAGATGTTACGGCAAGAGATGGCGTGACTATGTCGGTAAATGGAAGAACTGTCTGCCAGAGCTAAAGCAGGACCAGCCTGCTCCCTGCAGGCTCAGAATGTTTCCATGTCGTGGTCCAGCACTGACAACGACTTCATCAGCATCACCTAGAAGTGGGCTAGTTACCCCCGTGTTAGGTCACATCCCCGCGTCAGGCCCCTCACCTCTTCTCCAGGTGTGAAGTTCTCATGGCACAAAGGACACCGGTTTGCCAGCTTTTCTGATTTGGCAGCTGAAATGATTTCAATAAAACAAGATTTAGTTACTTCTGTGAAACTTGAACTAATGGCAGAAAAACAGGACGTATCAACCGACGGCCCAGCGGACACTTTGTCTGACACCCCTCCAGCTGGGCCTTGCCCAGGGAGCACACTGGTGACACAGGGCGTGAGGGCTCTTGGCGGGGGCCTGAGGAGGCACTCACGGTTACAGTCTTTCATTTTTATGTGTCTAGGCAGCTCTTCTTTTAAAATGGCCTCGCTGCAGCGGTAACACTTTCCAAACCCGTCTTTTTTGTCACATTCTGTCAGCAAGTGCTCCGTCAAGCTGGATATCTCGACCACCTGGATTCCAAAACACAGAAGAGAGCTGAGAACACGGCCGTGTGTCCTGCCCTGGCCACTCTGCGCAATGTGTGCCTGGCTTCCTGTGACGAGCAAGATGAGCACGGTTTCCTGTGTCGCCGCACGAGAAGGTCAGCTCTGCTCGGGAATTTGTTGCCTCTGGCACTTATCCACTGGGCTTCTGTGGTCATTATTCTACTTGCTAAGGACCCCATGTCCATCTTGTCCTGTTACCTTGGTGGCAGGTGAAGGCCACTGCTCAGGGTGGGGATGTGGAAGCTCCAGTTAACCCCAGTGTGACACTTGTCTTGGGCAGAATGGCTTGGAGGTTCAACCTGTGGCTTTTGGGCTCCAATCCCGGCCCCCTGCCCTTTCCCGAATGTGCACAGAGACAGGCCCACAAGGAGCGCCACAGGACTCTCTCGTCACTCGGACATCTTGGGCAGGATGACTTATAGACGTCCTAAAACTTCATGCCATGGACTTTGACACACTGCTGAGGAGGCCGGTCACCCTCTCGGGTCCAGATCTGTAGCCCCAGGCTGAGGGGTAACTGCTCAGAGGGCGCTGTGTCCCTTCCAGCTCTCCTCTGCAAGACAGAGCCTGGGACAGAGTCCCGGGTCGAGGGAGGAAGTCACTCTCCTCTCACTTCTCCCCCTTTTTAAGAGGAAGGCCTCCTGCAGCAGAGGAGATTAAAAATTGGGGGTAGGGGAAGATTTTTTAAACAGGACTCAAAAAGTATTAACCATAAAAAAGGTTGATGAGGTGGATAGCATTAAAATTAAAAGCTTCTGTTCGTCAAAAGATACATAAGACAATGAAGAGGCCAGACAGAGTGGGGAGGGTGGACCAGCACACACACTGGAGAGGGCTCGCATCCAGTCATGTACAGAGTATGCACCAATCAGTGAGACAAGATCACTGACCGACTTCAAACACGGGCAGAGCACTAGAAGGTGCTTTACAAGAGGGCGGCCAAACGGCCACCCAGTGGACATCCAGAGAGACGCAGGCCGGGAGTGTGACGAGCGCCACCAGGAAGGCTGACTACGTGCGGCTGGCCAGGGTGTGGAGTGCTGGCCTCGTGGGAGTTGAACCCACGACCACTGCAGAGCATGGCTTTCACTAGCTCTACAGTGAACATGGGCACACCCAGTGATTCCATAACTAGGTGTGCACCTACAACAGTGCATTCACACGCGCGCCAGAAGACGTATACAACCATGTCTCTAGCAACATCCCTCATATAGTCTCAAACTGGACCCACCTAAATTCCTAAAACAGTAGAACGGATGGATAAATCGTGGAATTCAAACAAGGGAAGACCACAAAGCAAGGAAACAAACATGACACACAAAAATTACATAACGTATGATTACAGTTATATAAAACTCAGAAAGCAAGAAACACTAACTTGTGGTGTCAGAAACCAGGACAGCGATGACACTGGGGAGCAGGGGTGTACTTCGAGGGTACTTGGCCTGCGTGGTTGTTACACGGGGCATTTACTTCGTGATAATTCAGGGAGCTGTAACACGTATGATGTGTTCACATTTACATACATGTGTTATACTTCAATGAAAAAGTAAGAAAAACTAATTGTGGTGATATACATTCAATTACTTTTCCCACAACTTTTCCTCTGGAAATACTAAGGGGGCATATTTTGGGACGCGGCCTTTCAAGCACGCGTGCCCAGCGCCTGACCTGTTTGCAGTAGTCACATCTCGTCAGCATGAGGCACTGCTTCCAGTAATGGAGATCCAGGCCTTCTTCTGTGAAGGAGTCACTCCTTTCCCCACAAAAAATACATAAACTGAAACAAAGCAGAAGAGCGCGACCTGAAGGTGCAGGCCTGGTTTAGAAACACCTATGCTGCTCCGGACGCCGCGCTCGGCACCCTGTTCCCCCCCCAACAGTGTGCTCTCGGGGACAGGTCCCACCTCACTGGGGGCTCAGGAGGGGCCGTGAGTGTGAAAAAGAGGAGGTATTCCAGAGAAAAGCTTAAGATCCCTTCCAATTCTAACTTTATTTGGCAGAATCAAGCCGAAAGCATATTTAAGTCACAAGAAAAGATAAGACAAAGACATTCCCTTAAATTCCTTAGAGATTTGTCTTGGCCACCGCACAGGAAGAGGCTTTTGCTGCTGTGGTGTTTTGTGCCTGTAGTGGCACCTGGACAAACAGGCTCTACCTCTATTGGGTAACGACATGGGAAGCGGTCTTGACTCAGAGTTAATGCTGGTCACTTTAGAGGACCATTTTCCTAGCTTTTAAAACTACCAGCAAGAGCCAGTTAGGGTTTCCATCATCACAATGCACCTGGGAGACTATCTTTATCTCACAGCGTTGTTACGCAGTCCGTCCCTCCGGTCATTACCTGGCGGGTTACAGACAGCGTTACTCACTTGTCCAGATAGTGATTATCTGGAATTTCTGCAGCATCAGGCGGGGCTGCTTTTCTTCCTTGAGTGTCTACAGAATTTAAAAGGAAAGCAATTTAAGTAACTTCTTATAGAAATTACTTTCAAACTTTTAGTAACCAGTTTGATGTGACGCATATTTTAAAAACACAAGAGTTAACAAAGGTAGTAGTGTTTTACATCAGCCCTGGATGGGCTGAGATGCGGCAGGTGTTCAACAGACATCCGACGGATGAAGAAAGCGGGTTTGACAGGCAGTCGCCACAATGCACATTTTACCTACCCTGGTTCTTTGCCTTCACAGCATCGCTTTCTTTTTCCTAAGACACAAAAACAGAGTGATCAGGGACAAATGGCAGTGGTATGAGCGAGAGTCTATCCAGGAGACATTTTGACCCTGAAAGAACGTGCCTAGGTTTGTTTCAAAATGTCTGTCAACAAATAACACAAGTCTATGAAAGAGTCAGCGACACTCTAACGTCTGCAGTCTCCCCTCTCCAGGCTCTTGTCCCCTCACTCCCTGGAGACCACTCTTTGTCAAGGCCACCGCCCTCCTCCAAGTTGCTCACCCATCACCATGTCCCCCTCATCTCCCGCTGGTCTCACAGCCCAGGATTCGTCACCCCTTCTCCTTAAATCCCTTCTTAGTCTGGCTCCCAGGGCGCCCCACGTGCCTCGTCTCCTCCAGCTTCACTGGCTTCACCTTCCTGACGCCAGGGCTGCCTTCTCCAGGATGCAGCCGTCGCCCCTTCTATCTGGACTCACCCTATTGCTGCTCTCGCCAGTTCCCAGGCTTGAAACCCATCTCTGTGCCGAGGACCAAACACGTAAGCCTTTAGTGCGGACTTCTCTGCTTACTCAGCATCTCTGTTTGGATCTTTACTAGTCATCTTAACCTTCATTTGCCCAGACCAAACTCCTGCGCACCCCTCAAGCCTGCTCCTCTGTCTTCTCTGTCACAGATCCCAGCATCTTCAGTCTTCCAGTTACTGAGGGCACAAACTCCGGAGAGACAGCTGACTTCTCTCCCTCTCCCTCTAGAACCTCATCAGACCCATCAGCAAATGCTATAGGCTCGACTTCAAAACATACACAGAGTCCAGTCGCTTCTCCCCACCTACACTGCAAGCACCACCGTGTCTCATCAGGACCCTGGTGACTGCTTCCAAAGGCTCCTAGCACAGTGGCCAGAGTGACTCCATTAATGCCTCATAAGATGATTGACCTTTGCTCAAAACCCTGGACGGCCTTCTAAGTCACTCTCTCAACTCATCTCCAGTGTCCACGCTGTTCACTGTGCACCAACCACATTGCCTTCCCTGCTGCTCCTCAGCATGCAGGCTGGTTTTCACCTGTGGGCCTTTGCACCTGCAGTTCTCGGCTCTTTCTCCAATGATCTGGAGGTTTTCCTCCACTTCCTCCAGCTCTTTCCTCAAGACCACCTCTCCCATGAGGCCTCTCCTGCCACACTATTTCAGCATGCTGCCCTCCTCCCACTGGAATTCCCTTCTTGGCTTTATTTTTCTGCTTAGCATGTACCACCCTCTCCAAAAAGGATGTATTTTCCTTGCCGATCTCGTTTATTGTCTGTCTCCACTATGAGAAGCAGAGGTGCATGACGGCAGGGATTTTGTTTGTTCTGTTCATTGGTGTATCCCCAGTACCTAGAATACCACCTGGCACACAGTAAGTGCTTAATAAATATTGGTTGACTAAATGAATAATTTAGGCATCACACAGTTCTTTATGCCAAGGTGGACTCCTGGCAGCACAGGCAGTGATCTGTCACACTCTTCTCCGCCAAGCTCTTTTCCTCGTGTTAGGTGTGCTAACGACAGGGGGGGACTGGACGGAAAAGCTTAGTTACTAGCGGCAGAGTTCACCGCTGGTTGTTGGGCTCAGCTGCTGCGGCCCATGGCGGGATATACCGCCCACGGGAGGTTCCGGGGCTGGGCCTTCGCGCCACCACTCCGGAGCTGCCTCCCAGTACTCTTCCTAGTCTGCTCTCTCTGCCCTAAAACTCTGGGACACACTTTATCAAGCTTTTCTCCCTGCCACTCAGCCTGCTAAACACTGCTATTTTCATTGTCAGTGCTGTTGAGTTGATTCCGACTCCTAGCGACCCCGTGGACAGCAGAGCGGAACCCTGCCCAGCCTTTCTGCGCCATCCTCTCACCTCCCGGTGCTACATCAGACAATGCTTTGCTGCTATTCAAAGGGTTTTCGTGACCAATTTTTTCAGAAGTGGGTGGCCAGGTCCTTCTTCCTAGTCTGTCTAGTCTGGAAGCTCCGCTGAAGCCTGTCCACCATGGGTGATCCTGCTGGTATTTGAAATCCCAGTGGCAGAGCTTTCAGCATCATAGCAACACGCAGCTGCCACAGTGTGACAAGCAACAGATGGTGGTGTGGTTCCCTGGCTGGGACATGAACCCGGGCTGTAGTGAGAGTGCCAGATCTTAACCCCTAGACCCCCAGAAACACTGCTATAGTCTCTACAAAAACTGAACACGTAAACGCACACTGTGTGGGTGAGCAACCAGCCCAGCCTGGGGGGTGAGGGGCTTCTTGGAGTTTCAGTTTGACAGGAGAACAGCATTCAGTGATGTGGTACAAACACGGATGCCGTCTACTACATTTGTAGAAAATTAAACTTTGCACGACAATAAGTAACTTCTATCAAATCCAATCAATGAATATGAAAAACACACATAAGAATGCAACCTTAGAACCGCAAGAGGACTTAATAGGTAAATATTAAACTTGCAAGTGGGGTTCACGTGATTCATGCGCCCACAGGGTAAAGAAAGCAAACTTAACATAACTGGATTGTAGGCACCAAAAACATTCTTATTAATGAGAGGTGGGTTTGTACATTTTGCAGGGAGACAATATAAACAATGCCAAAAGTTGAATTTTAGTTTTCAGAATTTTAGTATACCTTACCTATGCTTTGAACAACTTAGAAAACTGATTAGCAAATTTTAAATCCTTTTTTCTAAAACTCAGGAGCAATTTAAATCAGGCAATTTAAAAATATTCTGTCTTTCACCGAAGTTGTGGAGATGGATGGTGGTAATGATTGCTAACAATGTGAATGCACTTAATGGCACAGAACTGTACACTTAAAAATGGTTAGGGGCCGGCCCCGTGGCCGAGTGGTTAAGTTCGAGCGCTCCGCTGCAGGCGGCCCAGTGTTTTGTTGGTTCAATCCTGGGCGCGGACATGGCACTGCTCATCAAACCACGCCGAGGCAGCGTCCCACATGCCACAACTAGAAGAACCCACAACGAAGAATATACAACTATGTACCAGGGGGCTTTGGGGAGAAAAAGGAAAAATAAAATCTTCTAAAAAATGGTTAAAATGATAAATTTTATGTTATGTACATTTTACCACAATAAAAAAATAGAAAGTGAAAGTCTTAAACCACCATTTCTCCACGGGCATCAGGCATTGGCCCCACCCCAGGCCCCCCTCAGTGGCCTCCTTTTTCCTTCTCTTAGTGCTGTTCTCATATTCTAGCATTTAGTTGAAATGTTACTGTGACTCTTTGCCAGGCACTTCAACACATAGTCAATCATATTTTCTTCTTTTTCATTTTTTTTAAAACAATTCTATTCTTTTTTTTAAAAACTGGTGCGAACACTGGCCCTGAGGCAGCAGACTGTTAAGTGCACAGGGCGATGCTGTCAACCACAGGCCCAGTGCTGTACCACAGAGCTCTGGACCTACCATCACGCGCTGGGACTCCCTGTTTAGCAACTCCCCGCTCCCTCGCCCTTTCTCTGTCTTTTTAAAAGAAATTTTCTTTCAACTTAGGGAACTTAATTACAAAATCAGTGCTATGAAATTGATTTAACCACAGATGCAGGCAGTTTAGAAGGGACATGTCCACATTCCACACCATCCGACCCCTATTCACAAGCCTCCATAGGCTTACGACTGGGGGCTGCCCCAGGTGCAACAGTGATCTGAAATTCCCTTTTTCATGCTGGAAACCAGACCTGCACACTCAGGCTTCTCTCTCTCCTTTGCTTCTGAAGGAGGCTGAGCTGCTGAGAGAGGAGACCGTCCCTCCACCTCCTCCTCTCTCGTTATGGCAGCTCACTCCACCTCTGGAGCATGAGAGCCTGGATGATGAGCCGACATTGAATCCAAGCCAGCTAACGGAGCATTCCTGGTATTTACCCCAAAACTAATTAAAGAAAAAAAGAGAATAAAGACGCCCATTCGCATAATGCTGGAGAAGTAAATCAAGCACGCTGTGCATCTCTGTAAGGAAACAAACAGCCAGGATTGCAGCTCGAATTGCATTGACTGATGAAAGCCATGTTAGCCGTCCCTACCTGGACCTCGGCCTGCATTTCTCTCAGTGCTGCCAGCTGCCCTTGTAAAGCTTTAATTTCTTCTTTCTTTCGTTTTTCTGCTTCTTCTGTAGCTGCTTTTTTCTGTGCCTGGTATAAAAATTATTTTTCCATTAGAATAGCTTATGAGGGTAGTCTTAGAAATTGGGAGACAAATTACAGCATATACAAATTATGTTTCTTATCCATTATAACAGTCACTAAGACTAATACTAAAACCAGGCTTAAAAGTCAATTCACCAGATTACCTTAATAAATGTTCACTGTCAGATAAACTGCAAATGTCCTCACAGCTATCACCCTCCTGTTTAGCTGGGGAACTGGGAGGGAGAGCAGAGGCAGAGTGGAGCCAGGAGCTGACCTCCGGGACCAACATTCTCAGAGGGCTGTGCTTCCTCAACACGCAGCTCCTTGAAGAACTTGTCAGTTTATTCATGTACCAAGTAACTCACTCAAAATAGGATCGAACATAATTTCATAAAAGTTAACTTACCCTAATTTCAGCATCTGTAGGCCTGCCATCTATTTTAGCGAATCCCTCAAAAATTGTTTTGTAGAGAACGTTCTTGCGCGTGGTGCTGTCGTCTGGAGGGAGGTACTCCAGGACAGAAGCCCCGTGCTGTTTATACATGTCCAAGATAATTGTAACTGCAGTTTCTCGAACCTCATACACTCTGTGCTCCAGGGCACTCACTGAAAACTGAAAAGAAAGTTGGGAGGGGCTCTTGTTGTTATCGATTCTTGAAACAATGAAGTTTATTTTCTCCAGCATAAAAGAAATATAGGTACATCATAAAAATTTGAAAAAATATAGAAAAAGAAAACAACATCCACTGCATTCCAGCCATTAGGTACAGAGTTTTCTCACTTCGTTTACTTTCCATTTGAGGTTCAATTTACGTTGTATATGTAATTTGTTTTGCTTTTATCCACTTAACATATTAACAAGCATCTTTTAGGTTACATCTTCCATAAACTTCAATATTAAGTATTATAAGATATCCCAATCATAGAGAAGAGGAAATATAAACTTCATGCCTCCACCATCTAGATTAACCAATGTTGTAATTTTGCTGTATTTGCTCCCGATCTTTTTGTGGTGAAGAAATAAACCACTGTGGCTCTCATGCAAGTCCCCTTTGGAGTCCCCCAGCCCCAATGTCTCCTTGTCCTGAAGCTGACGTGTGTGGTCCCACCCAACTTCATCTACTACAAAGTGTACACACCATGAGTGCATGTATTTGTGTGTATGTACAGGTTTTTTCTTTAACATTATAAATGGTATACCATGCTTATCATTCTGAAACTTCATTTTTTCCAGCTCAACATTTCTTTTTCAAGATCTGTGTACCTTCATTCCTCATGATCTATTTCATTCATTCTAACTGCTTTATGGTATTTTGTCATACGAATCTGTCATAATATAGGTATCCCATCCCAGACTGATGTTATGTGCTAGGAAATCGACATCTCCCCATGGTCCTTTGGGTGCATGGCCTCTCAGTTCTTGGGCTCCCTCATCCCCACAGTCTCAGCGTGCCATGCACTCTTAGGTGTTACCCTAGACCTTGTCATTCCCATCACTGCACCCCTCTGGAAGCCATGAGCGTAAGGACCCGCCCTCTGACGATCACCTCCTACCCTTCCAGTTCATTTTTTGGTACACCCTCCCCTGACAATTCCTCAATCCCCTCGGGACCTGCAGTCCATTCCCACCACCCACTACATCTTTTCCCATCTGCCATCTCCCTCAAGTCTTTACTGCCCTTGTGTGTGCAGCCTGGACAGCATGGTCCATCATTATAAGTCACTTCTGGCATTCACGCACACCCTCAAAATCCAGGACCCCTTCTCCTTTCTTTGCATTCACCAGGCAAAGTGGAATGTGAGTGCAGACTTGAGAATCATGCTGACTGGTTTCATGCTGGATTTACAGCCACAGATATCATGGGGGTCCTTGGCGTTGCATAGTAGACTGACTTGCAACAGTACCCTCTCAGATGTCAAGGGGAGCATTTCATACTTCCCCTCGCCTCTCAAACCTCCATTACGCATTCTTGGCTTTGAGCTGACTTCTTCCTGTTAGGAGGATGACTGGCCCCTGCTCCACACCGAGCCAACCCTTCTGTGTGTACCCTGGGGCCCAGTCCCTTTGGCTATTCAGGGACTTTGCTCCTGCAGTTAACTCCCCTCGCCCCCAATTTCCTACTTTTATTCATTTCTCCTTCCTTTCCCTCTGTCTGGATCAATCCCACCAGCAACTAGATGGGCCAGAACAGGAGAAGGTGCTCAGTAACCTCTCTGCTCTTCCTTGGTGCACAGTGATGCCACACTTGCAGGTCCCTGTAGTTAGGATGGGGCCATCTGGGTCAATGGAAATGTGGGTGGGAGTGGCTTGGTCCATAGAGACATCCCCCTCACAATGTTCCTTTATTCAGTGACCTCAGAGGTCATGTGTAAAAGTTGGTGGCATCATACTTGGAGGAGACTGAGTCCCTGAGTGCCTGCATGGAGCAGAGTACCTCTCTCTTAGCAAACTACCCTGGACCAGGATGAGGGAGGGCCATAAACTTTTAGTGTTATGCTACTGAAATCATAGTGTTTGTCACTGCAGCACAGCTTACTGTGACTAGTGCTCACACTGACTTGAAGTGGGTGCTGCCACAACAGGAACGTAAACATGTGGGCAGACTTTGTGCTTCTGTGGTGGGAACAAGGAAACGGAACTTGGAGGCAGGAAAGATGGTGATCCATGTTATGCACAGCAAAAGAGTAGATGCAAGTGTTGCCTAATATAGCTCAGAAGGCAAACCAGGGGCCTACTGAGCTGGTAGTGCTAGAAGTGGATGGAAAGAATCAGTGTTGGTGTATCTGAGCTAAAATTGGCTGGGCTTACTAAAATTGGCTGCCTTTGGCATTTTTACAAAACAAAGAGATGAGCTCAGGAAAGAATGGCAGTTTGCAATCAGAAATGAAAAGACTGTTTCTCTGAGTACAACGGGGAGCATGGCGGGTCTGAGGAGACGAGCATCCTGATCTGACTTGTGTTAACGGCGGCTCTCTGAGTGCTGGTTGAGAACAGACTGCAGGGGCCAAGGACATAAGTGGGAAGTCCACTGAGGAGTCTGTGACAACAGTCCAGACAGGAGACGGTGGTGGCTGGACCTGGCTGGCAGCAGTGGAGGTGTGAGACCTGGCCAGGTTCTGGATGTATTTTATTTATTTCAGTGTCTACATCATACCTCTGTGAATAAAACAGATGAATAAAAATGGCCTTATAGGTTCCTGCCTCTCCTGCTGGTAAACTTACTTATGTCAGGTCCAAATCCAGGCTCTGAGTCGATGGACATGTGGAATCCACAGACAAGAAAAGAGGCGTTTAAATACCGCCTCCACCTCCTCCATTGATAGGAATGGACACAGAGAACTGACATACGGGCTGGCCCACGAGTGTAACACTGTGAGCAGTTTATGTGCACGGCTGGCCAAGACGCTGGCTACATCCTCAGAGCTATACTTGCAACACGTTTGAAATCAGAAGTAGGGAATTTTTGAGCTGGCAGGAAATATCTCTCCTGTAACTTCCATAGCTTCATTAGCTTGTCCAGAGCACAAAAAATACACATACTTCCATATACTTGATAATCTCCATTACAGCGCAGTTAACTCTTATGGACAAAGGTTCTTTACAACTGTTTACTGCCATGGACATAAACCTGCACATATTGAGTAACGATTGGTGGAAGGAGGAGGAGCAGGATGAGACTGCACGTACCACGTGCTGACCGCGGGAGGAGGAGGAGCAGAAAGGCTTTAGGTGCATTCATTTGTTAGATGAAACCATGACAATTTTTCTGAAATCGCTCCTTTATTCATTGGGTAAACCCTGCCCAGACTCACCGTGCTGCAGGCAGCATCCTGACGCCGAGGCCGTGGAGGCGCGGGGCATGCTTACCTTCATCACGCTGTCGGCGGTGAGGCCCGAGCACTCCAGGCCCAGGTCTCTCAGCAGTCGCGCGAGGAGGGCCACCTGGCTCAGCGCCACGTGAGGGGAAGACTTTGCTTTGAACGGTTGTACCAGATAAGATGGAATAATTTGGAGAGACTTAACTTCCTTAAACAAGGCCATTTCCTGTAAAAACCAACATAATTTGTTAATTTTTACTGGAAAATGCTAAAGGTAATTTAGTATGATCCTCAAAGTATACACTGAAGGAAAGAATAGGGAATGAAAAATGACAGTGACAAATGGCAGTACAATCATTGATCTATAAGCTTATATTTCTATTTAAGACATTATAACAATTAAAAACAAAACCCTGAAGCATAAGAAAGAACACCATGAGCACCTGGAGATTAATGAAAGCTTTACAGAAAACGTGATTGAGAGCTTAAGGTTTCTCTGAGTCTCAGGATTTCCCAACCTCAAGAAAACGGTTTCCTAACTTCTAAAATTCTAAAAGAAATTAGTTTTGCTGTGAAAATCACCACATTAGTATTTATGAAATGTCAACCAAGAGTGTAACAATGTATAATACTCTAAGATTACTAATGGGTTAAGATGAAAGAATGTAAGTACCACTACATTTTTTTATCCTGAGGAAGACTGGCCCTGAGCTAACATCTGTTGCCAATCTTCTTCTTTTTGCTTGGGCAAGATTGGCCCTGTGCTAACATCTGTGCCAGTCTTCCTCTCTTTTGTATGTGAGTCGCTGCCACAGCATGGCTGCCACCAACTGGTGTAGGTCCATGCCTGGGAACCGAGCCCTGAGAGCTGAAGTGAGAGCACCCAACTTAACCACTAGGTCATGGGGCCTGCCCCAACACTATATATTTTAATGTCTCCACACAAACAAGTCTTTCTATAATTAAGATATTTACCGCTCAATTAGCCAGACACAGAAATAGAAAGAAATTATAAAATATTGAAGCATACGATTTGCAATATAGAAAAAAATCAATTTTTAATAGGTCTGCAGGTCATATCACCTAAAATAACTTTTCATTCTGCCAACACAATTAACTTTATATTTGGGCCTGTGAGTGACTCTGTACAAAGATGAAAGAAAAAAGAAGAATGAGCATTCTTCAGCGAAAGAGTAACAGTAAACACCCTATATGACAAACAGATGCTGCCAATAGTGTAACTGCAGATTCAGCTGACAAGCACGCTGTGCAGAGCAGGGGCCCAGCCTGTGCTGCACTGGAGTCGACAGCCTCAAACATGGCCAAACGACCGAAATCAACAGGGCTTAAAAACAGCTGAAGCGATGACATGTCCTCGTTTTTAACATATCCTTTGAAAGATGATCTCTCCCCCAAATTCTAAGCTATGTTAACTAGGAGTATATTGTAGGACTTGAGTATTACTTATTTTTGCCTTCTAATTAGTATCACTTATTTCTCCTTATTCATTTTCCCTGAAAATTTGTCATTAATTAAACGAAATGAGATTAGTGGTTCTTCATATTGGAAAAATGGTCCCTTTGAGAAACTATGAAAACTTTGGACTCCTTCCCGAGAAAGATGTGCACATTTGCAAAATTTTGTATAAAATTTTAAGGACTTCACAGACTTTCTGAAGCCCAAACATAGGCCCAAACTTAAGAACGCCTAGATTAGACGAATTCATTAGCTAATCTAAAGATAGCAAAATATATTTTCACGCTATTTGGTATAAGCGCATGCCAAAACCTCACACCCGTTTACTTCTGCGGCAACACCCACCACAGCCCTAGCCCAGAGCAGCCGTGTTGGCTGAAAGAACGAAAATATTTAGATCAAGACAGTTACACATTTATTATTTCTTTACTCCCAAATTTTCCACACTGATTTGGTTTTCTATATTTTTTTATTGAAAAAATTAATAGCATATGTTGAATAAGAGGGCCCCTAGAAAAACCAAACTGTTTATCTTAATCACAGTTCGTGTCTAACAGAATTTACCTCGTGGAGCGTAAGGCAAGTACGAGAGCGCGTCCCGAGGCTCCTGAGTAGAGACAGAATCTTGTAAAGTATTAACAAAGTCAAACACCTGTAGGAATGTTCATTATCTATGGTTTTGCATTTACAGTAATGTTCATACCTGAACAAAATTTGAAGCTATAACACGGAGCCGAGCAGAAGAATCTCCAGTTCTGGTGAGCAAAATGGGAATGGTTCTTTCCACACAGTGAGTTGTTTCAAGTTTACTCAGTTTATGTTTAGGAATATATTGTGTAATTATCATTTTCAACAATTTCAAAGAAGCCTGAAAGACCTAAGAAAAAAATGATAACAGGTGAGCTACCATAATTGAATTCCACCAAAAGTGAACATGAATTTACTATTAGCAATAAATATGGACATTATATGGAAAATTACATGTTGTCTGAAAGGCTGAAAATGGCAAATTGAACACTGCTTTCTAAACACAGTAGCCTGCAGGTGGAAGACACATGCACGTATTTCAGAGCATCATACGGTACTCCACACTTCCCCCTGAGGCCAAACATCTGACATTCCTGTTAACTGGATGAGCTCCTGTATAATGCAGACGATGCATGACTGTGGGACATTCGTTCTTAAGGCCCTTTCTGAGCTAGAAAAATTCCACAGTAGTTCCCAAGCTCCTCAGGCTTCATGGAAAATAAAAACATAAGCTGAATGTTCCATGGTCAGTGAATCAGGCCTGTGTGAAGAGAGGCTTTGAGGAGCGTGGAGAGAGTTACTGCTGTTCAGGACCAGACAGAATGCCCGAGCACAGACAGACCTCGCGGCCTCCTCCCTGACCACGATTCTTGCTGCAGCCCTGCTTCCTGGCTGTGCGGGCTGACGACGATGCCAGTGACCAGGCTACCTCTTGGGCTACTGTGGCCTCCTGGGGAATGTCAAGCATCTCATCCGCAGACACTGGGGCTGCTGAGGGGAACATGGGACTCACCGGGGTCACTATGTCTCTGATGGCTCTTCTAATGAGAAATACCGATGCTCTCAGTGTGCTCTTTAAATCTTCTTTTGGGGTTCCAACAGGCATCTCCATCAGCTGTTTATACAAGGCGAGCAGTGCATCTTCCCGGTGTGACCACGTCTTGGAATAGGCCCCGGCAACCTACCACAGACCAAGAGCCCTGCTTCACTCAGGGTGGGCGTTTCAATGACATCGCCACCACCCCCAATACTGTGCAACCAGAGGTTTTGTTTGTCTCAAATGAAGAAAAATCTACTCTAATAACAGGACCTCTACAGAATAAATATGTGCACTTAGAGAAATAATTTTTTCTAATATGGAAAACTTAAGACCATGTTAAACTATGGAAAGTATTAAAAGCTCCACTCAGAAATACTTTGAAGCTGAGAACCGCAGGAAAGATCCACTGCGCTCATTTCAACAGGGAGACACTTTCATCTTTTGTTTTGCTTTGTCATCCTTTTTCCCTCGAATTAGCTGTTCACAGCGGGAGCAGATTCTCACTACCAGCTCTGTCAATGCCAGAAAGAAACACCTGTCTTAAATGAATACTCATTCACAAAATCTTAAATTCCAGCTTACGTTTCTGCTGTTTCATATAATTAGTAACTATCAAAAGACTTTTCAACTGAATAATGCAGACAAAGAGAAGTCAACAATGTCACAAATATGAATGCCTGGGAGCTCTTCCTGCCTGCTTCCTTTCTACATTATAAGTGCACGTTTATATGGTATTTGCTTTTTTACCAAGGCCTCCCCAAGGACATCGACGGCAGAGCTGGCTTCTCTCAAGGCCTTCTCCGTTAAAGGCTCTGGGTCGCCTGCAGCGCCTGCTCTGGGACCCTCGCTGACGTCCCCGTCACTCTTTTCTGGTCCCACAGCTGCAGCCCCAGGCTGCTTGCGGACGGCGGGAAGCGGCCGCTCATCGTAGGGCAGAGACTCGAGCTGCAGGACAGGAAGGGCGGCTGCAGAGTCCCATGCAGGGTTCTCCCCACTCGCCAACACCGTCTACACCCACAGACTCACTGCTCTGGACTCACTTGGATTGAAGGATGGTATTTTGCTAAGTATCAGTCTTCCTAGAATAATTTATACAATAGGACGTAACTACAAAAATTAGGTCAGGGTTTCTATTCCTTTCTAAACTCATTATAGACCTCAAGTAAAAGTTATTACTTTATTTTCTGACAAGACCTCTGATATTTTCTTAGTTTACGACTTAGAAACAAGTATCAAGCTTCATTTTAAACAAGTTCATTAACAGGCAGCCTTATACTTAAAACAGGCAGCCAATGTTAAAGATCTTTAAACAACCTTTTTCTGCAGTGCCTGCTAAAACTCTGCACAGGCAGCTGTCTGTTCCACCCATCTCAGACTTCAGCAGATGTTACTGAGCACCTAATTCAGGCCCCATGTAGACCAGATGGACTTCCCATCCTCATGGTGTACACACTCATCAGGGAGACAGAGATGTATCATTAAACAAGTAAATACGTAGCAGACTTTGGGATAATTAGGTGAGAATAGAAAGAGAGCAATTGCTGAGTCATTTTCTGAGGCAGGTGTCACTGTGACACTGAACAGACAAGAGTAACTATTTTTTCGTATGAAGACCTCCTGAGATGTTAATTGAGTGCATACCATGTGTGAGAATGTTTCTCATATTCTAAAATTTACTCATAATTGTAAGACAAAATACTTTGAGATGCTAAAAAAGGAGAAATTAGAATATTTTTAAATTGAAGTATTAAATCTAACTTATAACAATGAAGTTAGAGACAAGATATTACCAGTGGGGCTGATGGTGACACTCAAAGATGTGCCAGGGAAAGCCGGCGGCATGAGTGCCGTGGAGGTTGCTGTGGCGCAGTGGTCCTTTCTATACTTCCTGGGCCTCTGGCTGCAGCAGACACTTGCCTGTGCCCACCTGGCATCCTTCCTTCCTCCTCAGAGTCCACTGGCCACATGGCCACGCCGTCAGCAGAAGCTCCAGGGAGGCCCTAACAAGCCAATGGACATGTTTCCCTCCTTTGTCCTTGTCATCACTTCAGAGATTGGCGTGTGGCTGATGCTGATCTAATAAGGGTAAACCTGGGACTCTTGCTTAGAATGGGACATGCTCTCTCCATCAGATGGGACAACGTACAGACCTGAAGCTGAGGGCTACATGACAGTTCCAGCGCTAGGGTGATTTGGAACCACGGAAAACAGAGTTGAGAGAGAGGAGGAAACCAGGCTTTGATGACACTGTTAAGCTACTGAATCAATCTGACCCTGAAACCCACATGATCTCTTAAGTTCCTTGTTACAAAAGCCTATAAAGCCCCCAGTTTGGACCAGGTTTTCTGCTACTTACAGCGTAGAAAGTTCTAATAGGTATAGCAACTATACATGACTTGTGCCGAGGTTCTACTGAGGCTAGCTCACGTTAGGCACTTTACAAATACTGTCTCATTTATTCCTAGAAACAATCCTTTAAGTAGATGACCATACATTTTTAGAGAGAATAAAGAAGAGGCTCGGAAGGACGAAGCGTGTCTTAGACCACTGGCTGACGGGGCAGAAGCAGCTGGGAGGCCTGGCACCTCTGCTCCAGAAGGGCCTCCCAGTGAGGAGGGACCACATGCTGGTTGCTTATGTCATCGTGTCCTGGCTTCGATGTTTACCTCCCTCTCCTGGAATGTGGGGCAGGAAGGGGTGTGGTGTTTTGTACCCCGATACATCCCAGCACTGGGAAAGCACCCACACAAGGCAGGTCCTCACTACATGCCTGCTGAATAAGCTGCACATAATCCGAAACTGAGTTACCTACATGGGTCCTGCGAGGAGGGTCTATGGTGGGCGGCGCCCAGTCCCCTGTGGGGTGCTGCGGAGAAATGTCCAGGGAATGTGACGAAGGCTTCTCCTGGGGGAAAGGGTCTGCAAACCGGTTTTCTGTCACCCTTTCTTCTTGTTGTGGTAGCGAGAGCGTTGCTGGCTGGTGGCGAGGACTGCCAGAGTGAACAAGGGGCTGGAGGGGCGAGTCAAAAGGCCTTCGCATCTGGGGAAAAAACAGGAGCTTTAATCCAGTGCCACTGCCACACCAGAGCCACCAGGTGAGCAAAAGAATAGGAGGCAGGGAGCGATAATCTACACTGAAGATGTCCTACGGTCCTGTCACGTCCTGCACCTGCCTCTCCATGTTCCTGTGTGGACTGCAGAAGCGACTGCACACCACAAGCACCAGTGTGATGGTGAGCCCTAGTGCATGGGGCACCACAGTGTGGGAGCACGCCCAAGTGGACGTGTCAGCCGAGAAGTGGCAGGAAGCCCCTGGGCTGGACCCAAAATAGACTGTGTTCAGAACCCAGCACTGCCATTTGCTCTGTGTCTGCAAAGCAGGTGATTTTCTGTCAAGTAAGCAGCACAGCTGACGTGGCAGCTCTCGTGCCCTGGGCGTGCTGGCCAGTGCTTTAGAGGCAGCACCTCATTTAATGCTCACCATTTCTACCCCCGTTGTAAATGTGACGGGGAAACTGAGGCATAGAGTGGATGAGGAATTAATCCAAGATCACACAGCTGGAACGGTGGGGCCAGGATTTGAGCCCAGGCAGTCCAGCTTGAGTCTGCACTCTCAGCCACTCCTCTCTGTGGCTCTGGGCCTCAGTTTCCTAATCTGTAATGTGGGATCCTTACAACCTGCCCCTGTGGCTTCTAAAGATCAGAGGCAGAGCACCTCCCACGAAACACATTCTCAACAAGCTGCAGCTGTCAGGATTACGCTCTCACAGCGCCCCTGGGGGTCCACGGGGCAGGGCTGTCATCAATGCGTTTTACGAATGAGGAAACCGAGAGCCAGGGAGATGAAGGGACTCACTGGGATCTCCCCGGCCCGACTCTCCCTTCCTCCTCTCCTGTGGATCTGCCTGCTCCAGCACGTTACCGTGAAAGCCCACCTGCCACAGGGACGCAGGAGCTGAGTGACCTACAAGCTGTCGCCTGAGCACGACGAAGCCTTTCCGCTCTATGAACACACACTCGTGAACTCCACCACTGCACTCTCCGGAGGCTTCTGTCTGTCCACGCTGGACGCAGCCCTGGGCACCTACCAGCTCGGCGTCCGCGAGGCTGTGCAGCTCCAGCTGCTCGTACACCTTGGCGCGGTACTGCTCCATCTGCTGCTTCTTCTCCTTGGCGAGGTCGTAGTCCTCCTTCTCCACCGCGCAGCGCTTCTCCACCTCGTACCTTCCGAGGCGCTCGCCGACCTGAAGCACAGCGCGTTTGCTTTCTGTCTCAGACACGGTCAGTTCACCTCAGGGGCAAAGATAATCTCTAGGGTGACGCCTAAACGACAGTGGCAAGGGCCATCTACAGATGTGGTGGGGAGGAGGGAAGGACACAGGAGAACCAAGGGGCCACACCACATTCGCCTGCAAAGGTTGTGCTGCCTGTCACTGCAGCAGCTCCAAGAAGCCCGAGTTCATGGTGATTTTAAAACATCTCTTACATTTTTCTACCATCTTATGATAGCAACACGGCACCTGAGGATGATGTCTGAGGGGAGTCTGAAGAGGCACAGAATATGCTTTCACTCATGTTTTTAAAATTTATTTTTTTAAATAATTTTTGTTTTTTGGGAAGATTAGCCCTGAGCTAACATCTGCCACCAATCCTCCTCTTTTTGCTGAGGAAGACTGGCCCTGAGCTAAAATCTGTGCCCATCTTCCTCTACTTTATAGGTGGGATGCCTGCCACAGTATGGCTTGACAAGTGGTGTGTAGGTCCACACCTGGGATCTGAATCGGCAAACCCTAGGCCACCGAAGCGGAATGTGCAAACTTAACCGCTGTGCCACTGGGGCCGGCCCCCTCACTTACATTTTTATTGCGCCTTGTCTGCCCATTGCTTCATTTTGCTTGGATCTCTGAACCACATTGACTCCCGCAGCTTCTAGTAAGCTGCTCGTTTGTTTTAACATATGTACTATGGTAATTAACAGAAAACGTATCACAGGCAGGAAAGAAAAACGGTTTTCTCCAGAAGCCATACCTTTTGCAAATCAGCAATAGCTTGTTTCAGTTTCTTGGCGTAGTCATAGCGCTCCTTTTGGACAGCTTCACGTTTTCTTTCATCTAATTTGCGTATTATCTGTGCAACTTCTGGATCTTGGTACATATCGAAAGCTAAGTCATCCAGTGGAGAAATATAGTCAGACTTCCTAAAGGAAAGAAGCGAGTAACTGAGAGCCAGTTTCAATCCACATGATAGCACAGTGGTGGGGAGCCCTCCAGGCTCAGTGCTGAAGATCCACCAACGGTCGTGAAGATGACACCCCCCCACGGCCGCTCCCAGAGGGTTTCCTCCCTGAGAAGATGGAGTCTCAGAGAACTCAGGAACAGGCTTCAGGTCACACAGCTCTGAAGTGCAAGTGAGTCTTTCTGACACCACAGCTTATGCTCCTGACCATTAATCAGACTGCACTTTGAGGCTTCTGAGCCTCTGCTGCATTCATTCATTCACTCATTCAGTAAGTACTCAGAATGCAGACTCTGCACCAGGCTCTGTTCTAGGCACAGAAGACAGGACAGTGCATGTGGACCGTTTGTAGATGGGGAAAACCAAAACCAAAGCCCGTGGATGACCAGGCCCCATTCCCTGAGAGTCTGACTTGGTGGCGCCAAGTGGCGCCCAGGCATCCATGTTTCATACCAGCCCCACAGTGATTGTGATGAACACTAAAGACAGAGAATTGCTACTAGGGGCTTTTACCTCTGAGTGTCAGACTGTGTGCCATCACCATCAAGTCCTGTAGGAGAACAGAAAAATTCTTCCAGGAATAAATGACCTTTTTAGTTACCTGAATAACCCATTTCTGATTAGTATCACCTCTATTCTTTCTTTTAAATTCTATAGTAGGCTAGTGGCTTTCTTTTGGGTCTAACATTTAGAACAATAATGCCAGTCTAACTACTCAACAAAAGTAGAGAACAAGTTTCGAAGGCTCCCAGCCTGCTGTCATGAAATAAGCTAGTCGTTAACTTTGATTTGGATATCTTTATATATAGGTAAACTTCAATTAAAATGTTATTTGTCATAAAAAATTTGGTCGTATAATAATAAATTTAAACAGGGCACAGGACTACATCACCTTTCAAAACGCCCCGGTGTCCCCAACACTTCCCCACTCCTTCAGTTCAGGCAGTTTGCTCACAGCACAGCACCAGGCTGGGGGCCGGGAGGCGCAGGCAGCTGTGAACAGTATCAACTCATCTCAGTGGTGACTACTGCAGTGCGTTTCGATGTCTCTACAAGGTCACTATAGCCATTTTTATCTAAATATATGTTACACTCTTAAGTGTAAGTCGCTTTGCCTTGAAGTCCTAGAGATGAAAACAAAGACTTCATTTTATTATTAATCCCTCAAAGGAAAAAACGATGTCAGGACTCCAGGGCCATGAGCAGCGTCAGGCACCAGGCTCGCCACTTGACACAGAAGGCCCCCTAGCGGTAACCAGTGGACTCCTGCCTAGGACTGCTCAGCTCTCGGTGCACAGCCTTTTCACAGACCTCGCCTCACCTGCAGAAAAACCCAGCGGGATGAGGCAAGACAGGCGCACTGCAGTCTCCTGTCCCCACTGGCTAACCTGACAAAGAACTGATTTAATCAGAATCAAAATAACCCAAAGACCTTCCATGGGAGATACTGAAACCACCCAGTGAGTGTGGCTGTCCCTGTTCTCCTGGCTCGAGCTTCACTGAGCCACGGGTCAGGGGACAGGAGGGGAGAGACAGAGCGGCCCCAGGTTTCCAACCCTGCCCAGAAGGCAGGGAGGGTGCTGCTGCCACTCCCTGAGGCACAGGCAGGGTCTGAGGCGGAGACTGAGGAGCTGGTGTAGGCACGATGTCACTTTTCTCACTAGTTGCTATACCCATTCTAAGAACAGCTTGCACTTTCTAAGCCCTCCACACTCACAACCACGCTGTGACCGCCTGGTCTGCCTCAGCTGAGTCCTCGTGAAGCTCAGGCCGCAGGGGCCGGGGCGGCCTCCGCAGGAAGCAGGGCTCCCTGTCCTCACTGTCCACTGGTGCACATACCTGGCAGAGCCAATGGCCCCCCCAGCAAGCGCTTGGGACATATGGAGAATCTACTCCATATTTTATGCAAACTGAAGAGCCTGGCTTAAGTGTTAATTACTTTGTGTCAGAAGTTTGGACTATATGCAAGTGACCAACCAAAAGCTGTGGACAAACTCCAAATGTCGATTAAAATCTAAGTGTTTTATCTTTTCTTTATCAGGCAGCTGCTGTCAGAAGGGGAGCTGGGTATTGCTTTTTAGGCTGGGAACCTCTGGAATGGGGACCCCTTGCTTTGATAAAGAGTGGGCACGTGGCAAGGGCGCCGAAGGAGCTCTCTGTCCCAAAAGGCGCCCAGGGAACAGAGAGGGTAAGAAGGACCATGTGAACCAGCGCTCCTCAGCTCGCCCTCCGCTCTGGACCTACCAAGAGTGCTTATACTGCTAAACAAGAGGCAGTAAAAGAAATACGTAAATAAAATTGTTAATGTGAAGAATGTAAAGAGGAATTGGTAAAAATGGTACTTATAAAAACTGATATAGGTATTTCTCACTCCCTTAAAGAATAAAGTTTTTTTTTTTTTGGAGGAAGATTAGCCCTCAGCTAACTACTGCCAGTCCTCCTCTTTTTGCTGAGGAAGCCTGGCTCTGAGCTAACATCCGTGCCCATCTTCGTCTAGTTTATACGTGGGATGCCTACCACAGCATGGTTGCCAAGCAATGCCATGTCTGCACCCGGGATCCGAACCAGCGAACCCCGGGCCGCCGAGAAGCGGAACGTGCGAACTTAACCGCTGTGCCACCGGGCCGGCCCCCAAGAATAAAGTTTTAAAGCAGACATAAGATGAAATCTTTAGTAACCGATAATTTGGGTCAATTAATACCTTTAATTATTACCTATAAATTTCCCTTTGCCAATAACATATCAAAAGATGGCTGACGGATCTTTTATCCAAATGCATTTTAGGAACTTTCTCGTAATACCTGAACACACGAGAACTGAAGTCATCTGTGAAGGGCAATAAACGGAGATGTGCTAAATAAAACAGTGACCTTAATCTGTAAGTGTGCTGAAGACAATCCCATCAGTGGCTTACCCAGCCGTAAACCGAACGTAGAGGCCCTCAAGTCCAGAACCCTTTGGACATGACTCACGCTGCCGTGCCTTTAAGGGGTCAGTGAACTTTACTGACCCGGAGGAGAAGTTTCTTACCCAGCACAGCTTCCTTCCAGAGCTGGGTCCTCGGTGTTGTGCCCCAGGTAATGGTCAATCAGCTTCTCTCTAGAGGTCTTTGGGAGCAAAGAGTTCTGCTTAGTATCTCAGAGAAAAAAAGGAACAACACAAAACCTTAACTAAGAGCTGATGTGATATAAGGATGTCAGCAAGCTTCAGTGATCCTAGTCTTTTGGAGGGACAACTAAAATTCTTGAGTAAAACAAAGATTAATATGCTAGCTGCTAAAAATTATCTGATAGTTATTCACCAGAAAATTTTACAAAGATTTTTAAGATGGCACTTTTTGTGACATAAATAAATGATCCCCTCCTGTTAGAAATAAATTTTCTTCTTTAGGAATGAAGCTTCTCAAACTTACAATATTGCTGTCATCACTGAAATCTGCAGGGTCCCCAATGATATTTATTGCAACCAGAGCAACCTAAGAAAGAGTTAAATCAACAGAAATTAAGTATAAAATATTTGTGATGACTTACCTCCTTTATACCAAGCTGCTGACCTACACTGGCAACAAATAGGGTAACGTACATGAAAGCACATTAAATGGAAAATTTGTCATGCTAATGTAGAGAATTATTATTAATAATTTTTATAAATTACATAAGTTAATATTTTAATGCTGAACAAAATGGCTATTTTAATGTTTAAAGGATGTTAAAACGGTAATAGCTAAAAAACCTCCCAAGTTCTAACATAGCCTCGCATTGAACCATTCATTCAAGGTTAAATATGAGGTCACAGCTACATGATCTTGGTAAATTACACAACGAAATGAAAACCTCAATTAACACAGCTTGGTCTGCCGAAGTCAGGGATTCTCACCTGAGGGGCGGAGTCCCCTTCTCAGACCCTCCCTTCCTTGAGAACCACTAAGGAACCTAAGGAACCGGGATGTTGCTGGTGAACACAGCAGATGGGGTGGAGGAAGAAAAAGGTCAAGAATCATTCTCCAGTTTACTGTCACAGACTGCTGCAATGGCCCAAGCAGCGTAACTCGCTCTCAGAGCTCCTTCAGCTCACTGGTTGGTATAAGACTTTGATATGCTGGAATGGCTGCATTCCTCTCTCAGAGGGGAAGGGAGTACTGTAAATATTTGTGCTGATTAAAAGATTGCTTTGGGGCCGGCCCTATGGCTCAGTGGTTGGGGTCATGTGCTCCACTTGGGTGGCCCAGGGTTCGCTGGTTCGGATCCTCGGCGTGGACCTAGCACTGCTCATCAAGCCATGCTGAGGCGGCGTCCCATGTAGCAGAACCAGAAGGACCTACAACTACAATATACAACTATGTACTAGGGGGCTGTGGGGAGAAGAAGACAAAAAAAAGAGAAAAAAAAAGAAGATTGGCAACAGATGTTAGCTCAGGGCCAATCTTTTAAAAAAAAAAAAAAGATTGCTTTGGACACACTTTTTTTCCATTGCACTAATCATGCCCCCAGAAAATGAACGGGAGGGAGGGGGCAGATGTGAAGAGCTGGGAGCCTGGAGCTGGAGAGATTCTGGATTGCATGCAACAGGAAACCACGTTCCCCATTCTACCATGGGATTGATCTTGTAAAGGTTTAGTGGGTTTATCTGGAACAGCACTGTCCAAGAGAAATATTATGCAAGCCACACATGCAATTAAGGTTCCTAGTAGATACAGTAAAAAAATTAAAAATAGATAAAATTTATTTTAATAATATATTTAAACCTAATATATCCAAAATATTATCATTTCTTTGTGTAACTGACTCTTCTTTGCGTACTGAGTCTTTGAAGTCCAGCGTCTAGCTGACGCGTGCAGCCCCCTGCACTTGGACTAGCTGTGCTCCCAGCGTGCCACGCCACAGGTGGCCAGCAGCTCCTGAGTGGACAGCACAGCTCCAGAGGAGCTCCACGTTCTCCATAAAGGAGACTGTCTTCAAGAAACTCTGGAAGTGCCTTTACTAAGAGGTACAGGACGACGCAATCCTGGAAGAGGTGGGGGCAGGCGAAGGCGGAGGCGCGTGAGTCTCACCTGATTATATACATTGTATTTGTTGACGTGGTTCTGGTGAAAAATCAGCTTAAGAAACTGGCCTACTGCATCCACATACACGGATTTTAGCTCCCGGGCCTTGCAGCCCGTCTTTTCGTTGTCACAGAGAGAGACATAGCTAGAAGAGAAGACGTAACCCAAGAACCATGTTGATATGCAAACATGCTGTCAATAAAACAGCCCCTCTTCTCCTACTGAACTCAATGTGTTTCAATAAAAGTTAGGTCTAGAATGAAAACCACCTAGGAAAAAAGCCCAGAAATCAAATTCTAATGAGTATTCTTCTTAAGACAAGTTCCGCAATGGCAAGGGGCAGTTCATTAGTTTTTAGTTGCTTTGAGGCAATTAGTCAGGTTAGGAGTGACCATGACAAATTTTAAATTTCATTCTTACCCAAGTCTTCGAAATCTCTCTGCTTGATACGGTACGAAATATTCAGGCAGGCTTTCACTGATGTAGAACTCAATTTTACTTGAGATCATATACTGGTGAGCAAGTAACTGGAGTTTTCTTATTCGACATCTCTCTACCATTTGAAGAACAATTTCTTGCGGAAACTGGCAAAATCTGAAAGCAAATACATTTTTGTTTTTTCTGCACGGTGACTGCAGAGGGTTTCCAGATGTCTGCATCCCACTCTTCCCCGTAATACGGTAGGTCTGTAGGAACTGAGGATACAAGAGGCCCATGATGCTAGTCCTGCTCTCTCCGGCTCTGCCAGTGGGAGCTGAAGCTCAGAGTTAAAATTTGATTTGATCTCCCTGCCACGCAACGTGAATCACACTTTTGGCAGCTAGTAAATGGTTTGAAATGAAACCTGAAGTTTATTATGGGATAAACATATCAGTCTTTTTTTTTTTCAGGAAGATTAGCCCTGAGCTAACTACCGCCAATCCTCCTCTTTTTGCTGAGGAAGCCTGGCCCTGAGCTAACATCCATGCCCATCTTCCTCTACTTTATATGTGGGATGCCTACTTCAGCATGGTGTGCCAAGCAGTGCCATGTCCGCACCTGGGATCTGAACCGGCGAACCCCGGGCTGCTGAGAAGCGGAACGTGCGAACTTAACCGCTGCGCCACTGGGCCCGGCCCCAAACATATCAGTCTTAATGGGCTGTACTAGTGGGCAAGACAGACCAAAGGACTTTCCGCAGGAACCTAAACTTCAGGAAAGGCACAGGCTTACGGAATCCTGAGTTATGAGTGAAAAGCAACAATGAGAGTTGAAGGAGTGCCGACCATATGCGCTCAGCAGTCTGGAAGAGAAGCCCACAACTGTCCACATGGGACTTCTAATTTTGCTTAGAAGCAATGCAGCATGTTAAAAACCTAAACGAGAACCGGGTAGAGAACCACAGTGTCAGCAAAGACCTCACACTGCAATATACGGTCATGACCGAGGCACTCGAGCACAATACTTAAAGACAGTATATGCTACATATGTTGAGCTGGCAAGCGCTGGGTTAATGCAACAGTGGGGCATCAGTGCACTTGGAGCAGCAGCATCGAGGGCACTGGAGCACTGAGGATGGGTCAGCTGAGAAAGGCCCTTCCACCAATAGCATCACTGCTCTCCGTGAGCTCGGAGCCCCTGCAAGTGTGCATTCCTGCCCACTGGCTCTGCCCGGCCCCTCTCATCACATCTCTTCCACCTCTCTTGCCAGCAGCCCCACCCTCCCCGCTCACCCAGCTGAACTGCACCAGAGGCAGCTGGTCCCAGCGCCGGACTCACCTGGCCTTTCTCTCTACCCGACCACTCCCACCAATAGACAAGCGCACTCTAGAAACCCTCCTGTGACCCTGCGCCCCTCTCCAGCTCTGGCCGCACTTCTTGGCTGCCCGCCTCAGCAAAGATCATGCAGGAGCCGTCTGCAGTCACCAGGGCAGCTTTCTCAAGCCCCCCTTTCCAAACCCTGCAGGCCGCTTCTGTCCCACACCTCCCTGTCACTCTTGTGAAGGCCACCACTGACCTCCATGATGCCAAGTGCAATGTGGGCTTCCTGGTCCTGACCTCACTTAGCCCACGTGACTGAGCCCACAGGACCACCCCCTCTTGGCTCTCCTCCTAGCTCAGGCCTCCCTCCCTTTGTCCAGCCTTCATTGTGCCCCTGGGCTAGGTTCCAGGCCCCCTTCTCCATCTACACTCACCATGGCGGATCCTATCAGCCCCGTGCTTATCAAAGAACCCCAACTGAACATCGCCCTGAGTCCCATCCTGTAGTCTAGTTGGCGACTTGTCATTTCCATATAGGCATCTGAAAGACACCAGATGTGACACAGACAAAACAAACTCCTGACCCCAGCCGCCCCATCCTGCCCAGACCGACTAGTCTCCTCCTTCTGCAGCTTCTCCCACCTCAGCAGTGGCACTGCCACCCACCTAGTAGCCCACACCTATCCTTAAGCTTCTAAGAGAATGACTAGGCCTATCAGTGGTGAGGCCATCTGGGGCCTCCCCCCAGCTCACTGCTGAGTAATGAGCACCCAGCATCACAGGAGGCACGTGGTGAGCACCCCAACCCTCAGGGGACAGAACAAAAGAAGAGGGAAGAGTGTAGAAAGAAGCAGGCTGAATGGCTGCAACTCTGTGGAAAGCTTTATGTTTACCTCTGAGGGACGTACAAGGATGGACAGGGAGAGGGTGTGATGAGAAAGTGGGGCCGGTGGCCACGGATGGAATGGACTCTAATTCCGGGGGCACACTCGCCGGGTACCTCCTAACACCGAGTTCTCAAAATGCATAAGACAGGTGCCTTTGGGGCAGGAGGGCAGCTGGAAGCAGTGGGAAAGCAGGCAGCTCATGACACAGATGCTGTTCACCTTGATGGCAGTCAAGTGCTGCTTTGGACACTGAAAACATCAGAACTTGTGGTGAGATCTTCTAGACATAAGGACCCCTAGTAATCTATTATGAAAAAAAATCCTTTATTATTAAAAAAACCCTCCAAAGCCGTTCAAAGAAAACTGAGACAACTGACAAAATCTGGAAATCGTATACTTTTAAAAATCCTTCAAAAAAAGATTTAGGGGCTGGCCCCGTGGCCGAGTGGCTGAGTTCACATGCTCTGCTTCAGAGGCCCAGGGTCTCGCTGGTTCGAATCCTGGGCGTGGACATGGCACTGCTCGTCAGGCCATGCTGAGGTGGCATCCCACATGCCACAGCTAGAAGGACCCACAACTAAAAATACATAACTATGTACCAGAGGGCTTTGAGAGAAAAGGGAAAAAATAAAATCTAAAAAAAAAAAAAAGATTTAGCTACAAATGTAGCTTATAGTTTATAGATGAATCAAAAACATCTTTCAAGCTGATTATAAAATGAAACAATACATTTAAAAAGCCTAGTATGTATCTACCTTTTCAAGATAAAGTGATAGCTCTAGATTTCTTTTTGAATAAAAATAACTTGGCAATAAAAAAATTCATGCCCAGAGGTTCTAGTGGTTGGTATAAGCTTCGGCTCTCTTAGAGAAGCGTGTCTCACCCTTCAGAGTCTAGGCTCTTCGAGCTCCTGGTCATGGAAGGGTACAGGAGGAGCTTCCCGCGCGTCCGGCACGCCCGAGGCCGGCCCAGGGGAGCCATCTGTCCGGGCCTGGAGCACGCCCTCTCAGACCTGGGCTAACAGAGTGGCCCGTCCTCTCTCTAGGGGACGCAGTTGGAGGGTATTTTCTTTTGCCTTCCTGCTTTAAGCTTGACCTCGGGGAACACTCTGTGTTGAATTCAGAAGACCCCAAGCGAAACCGAGGTTGAGTCTGTGGTGACCAAGGTACATATATCCCTTTCTTTGGTGTAGTCTGAAAGCTAACTACTAAAACGACTACAGCTCACGCCTTAAAGAGATGCATGTCAATGCACGAAAGCAGCATACTAGTGCTGTCTTGATAAATATTCCTAACGGGGTACCCTCTCTGTGTATGTAAGTACCTTTAATCCACAGGTAAGCACAAATGCAGTCCGCAGGAAGGACTCTGCTGAAGGGAAGTGCTGGGGGGGCAGGGGAGTGCATCTGCGGATGACTGTGGCCCCAGCCGCCGGAGGAGAGGCAGCGCTGGACTGACCGGTGAGTCTGGGGCAGCTGCCCGCACGGGTGTGCTCCCACGCTGCCCCCCCGGCCCGGCTCCCGCAGGTCAGGCTGCCCTGGCTGGGCAAGCACACGGCCATGGCGGGTTTGGTCCTAGGAAGCCCACCTGCCTGCACAGACAGCCCCTGCCCCAGTATCAGCCTCATCAGCGACAGAAGAGCCGTCTGTCCCCAGCTGCTTTCCTCTTTTGTTTCATTCCTCAGCTCATACAGGACTGGGGCAGGGAATGGGAGTCTCTGTTGGGTCCCCTCAAAAACTCCAAAAGGAAAACAGATTTTAATTTTAAATGGAATTTATAGTCAACTTTTCAGCAACATATCTTCTGAATAAAAGCAAGTCCTAAGTATATATACTGAATTTAAAATATCATACATATTTACACATTTACAAGTTAGGAGCAAATAGTACTTCTACTCAGACTTGGAAAACAAGTCATGAGGAGCAGGGACAGTGAGGAGGTGACAGGACTGGGTGTGTGACCATGAGGAACGGGGACACTGAGGAGGAGGTGACAGGGCCAGGTGGGTAACCATGAGGAGCCAGGACACTGAGGGACCAGGTGGGTGACATGAGGAGCAGAGACACTGGGGAGGTGAGGCAGCGGGAGGCGAGCAGGCCTCACAGGACCGACACCACCGACGTGCACGAAGCCCGAGCAGGCACTCGGCTGCTAAACAACTCTGACTCCGCCTTTGGTGAAGAGTGAACATCTCTCAGGAAAAGACTCAAATGTTTCAGAGAAATACTAACTAGTATTACATTACTCAAGTAATGAACATTTTTATAAAGGTGTGCAAATATTCAAGACAAATTCGAAAGAGACCTTTTAGGTTAAAATTCAGCATTATACAAAAGCAGTTAGATACAAAATATTTACCAAGGAGCACAACCATGAAAGCAAGAAATCTGCAAACACAAACTTCCGTCCAGAACACGGATGAGGATGTGATACCCGCACTTGGTCAGGGAACACGGCTAAACCACCATGGGGGACCACTTTTCTTCCTTCTACTCGTCCATATTTGTGCCTTTCTTAAGTGAGTATGGGTTAATGTGATAAGGGAAAAAGATCCAACAAATTTTCCTTAAAAACGTAACCACAAGGAAAAAATCCATCACGTAACTAGACAGATGACAGTGCAGTACAATCTGATGATCCCGGGGTTCTCATGTCTGAATTATAATAAAATTAGCAGCTTAGAACGAAAGGAGCCCACGTGCCCTTCAGAACCCGTGCCACCCCCAGCCCATGGCCCCCTGTCCAGCCCACCTCGGTGACCTCCACCCGCTGACGGTTGGTGCATGGATCATTAGCTCCCGGGCACTGAAGCCGTCTTCGTGTCCAGACGAGCTGACAACTACAAATCCAATCTTGTGGGGCATTCTGTGAGCTGGGGCTGTTTATAAGAGCAGGAAAGACTGCTTTAGAATAAAGGAACTGAGCAACATATTCTAACCACATTATAACATGGAAAGTGTTAGTCATGCCTTGCTAACATACAAAGTAATTCACAACATATTCAGAAGTTTTCCATCACATTGAAAGAGTCTGTTTTTTTCTTAAGTGCTTTTTATAGGAGCCTCTACTTGTACTTAAAGTATCATTTAAGTTGTCTCAACTTCTCCCGAACATATGTCCAGAGAGCATGACCAGTGCTGTGGGTTGAACTGTGTCTCCCAAAAAGATCCATTCAAGTCCCACCGCTGGTACCTGTGCATGTGACCTCACTTGAAAACAGGGTCTCCGTAGACGTAATCTAGTGAAGATGAGGTCATACTGTGGTAGGGTGGGCCCTACTCCAATGTGACTGGTGTCCTTACAAGAAAAGACACACAGACACACACACACACACACTCAGGGAGAAGGCCATGTGACAATGGCCAAGCGACTGGAGCAATGCTTCTACAAGCCAAGGAATGCCAAGGATTGCTGGAGACCACCAGAAGCTGGAAGAGGCAGGAAGGATCCTCCCCTAGAGCCTTCAGAGGGAGCATGGCCCTGCTGACACCTTGACTTTGGACTTCTAGCCTCCAGAGTAAATTGTTGTTATTTTAAGCCATCCAGGTTGAGGTACTTTGTATGGCAAAAACAAAAGTTTTTTTTGCTAAGACGCAAATACTAAGTTTTTTATATTAGTTAAGAAACTAATACAATCAGCGTGTTAATAAGTTATACAAAAAAGAGCAGTTTAATCAATGGCGTAATAATAACTGCTGAATGAAAATGACCAGAGAAGAGAGAGCAGTACAGACAGACACAGTAAGTACAGAACTGTGCGGCAGAGCCTGGTGAGTGACTGACTTCTAGGAGATATTTACACACTGGCTGAATGATTTTTCAGTGAACCTGACTTTGTTCATAGTTAAACATCATTGCTCTGAAGGTGGACGTTGTGATGTCTGTTTTCGCCTGCTCATTTGAAAGCAGCACCTCAGTCGCAATTTCTCTGGGTGACTATGCCCTCCCCACACCCACATCTGCGGGGCTGCTGACCCCACCCCACGCTCCTCAGCTCCCTGCCTGCAGCGGGCATGTTTCCCGGGCGCAGGCCTTCCAGGAGCTCCACGTGGCTCCTCAGTGAATGGCTCAGGGATGGGAACATGAGAACAGGACCCAGTGGACCAAGGCCACTCAATCCCAGGACTGGGCTGGCACAGGTGGGAGAGAGCAGCTTTCCTCTTGCTGGGCCTGTGGCAGTGGGATAACATTTGTCTGGAGGTGCTGGAGGCCGCCAGGCAGGAGGTGCTGCTGGAGAGTGGGGGGACGGGGGCAGCAGTGCTGAGAGGCATGGACACCTGCGAGACTTTGGTTCACATTTAAAACCCCAACTACTCATGGACTTCCGGTCACTCTCCAGTCACTGAACCAATCAAATTCCTCTTCAATTCAAATTCCAGTTTGAGTTAGGTTTAAGTATCTGCGGCCAAAAGAGTCCTCACTAAAACAGAGGATAAAGAATTTTCCAGAAAATTCTCTGGGGTAGGACATACTATTAACTGAAATTCTCCACAGGAAGTAACATATAAACACCTCACATGAAATTTTGCCTTTTAAACATGCATGAGCTGGATCTTTCTTTTACTTTCATTGAGAACCTGAAGAAGAGTACATCAGTAAATCAATCATTGGCTGGCATCTAATGTTTCTTGGAATGTACGAACAAAAGCATTAAAAATAGAATGATAAACCACTATTAAAGATCTAGTTTTTTATATACAAAGTTCACTGCAGATGTTATAGTATAGCAGAGGAAAATTAAAGTAGACTAACCCAGAAAACCAGGAAAAGCAGGCATAAAAAATGGACAAGTGTGATTTAAGCCACGGTGCGCTGCACAGCCCCACCCTCGCTCCCAGCACCCCGGGCAGGAAGGGGATTCCTCCCGGCACCCGCCCTCTCCACCCGCCATCTACTTCTGCATCTCCGCCTCCCCCTCCCAATGCATCGAGTGGGAAGTCTCATTGGTCCTGCCTTTGGAACGGCAATTCTTCTTCCTCTGTCTCTCTTTTTCTCTATCTCACTGTCTTTAGACAACAGTAACCACGGCCAGGTCTCCCCACCTGCAGCGCTGCCCCTGCCCACTCGCCCTGTGCTCCTGCTGACACACCCTCCTTATGCCCAGCCAGCTCACCACCATCTATGCCCTAGCTCAGGAACCCTTGATGGGCTCCCTGTCCAGGGCCAAAGGGCTGACTCCGTGTCCTGACCCAACTTGTGGTTCTGAGCCTCACTTCTTGTTCTGAATTCTAAAGTCTATCCCTCTGCTCTGAATGCACCAAATCCTTTGATCTTTAGGAGCAGGGGCTGTTACTTCCTGTGCCACCATGAAAATAGTAGGTGTCTATTAAATAGTTTCAACTGAATGTGATTATCTATCTTAAAATGCGGAATACTACTCGTATTACCCACATGTGTATAGACTGACTCCTTCACACAGCCCTTCACCGGCAGACGGACACTTCCCGCAGAGCACTCAGCGGGTGAGGGACTGTCCTCAGCACTTGACACAGACTGATACCTTCCTAACAACTCTGATGTAAGTTTCGTCACCCCAACTTTGAGAGGAGGAAACTGAGGCACACAGAGGCCGGTGTCCAGGGTCATTCAGCTAGTAAGCCCTGCAGGCAGGGTTTGTTCTCAGCCGGTCACGTGCCGTGGTCAGGTTCCAGAGCCTGACCTTGACCAGTACTCTGCTACACGCTAAGATTTAAACATAGGGCCTCTTAAGTTGAAACAGAGGTGTGTCCACTATACTATGTTGTTTCAATAAATCCAAAACAAAGTGCTGGCATTTACGAACCAGGTGGGAGAAATGCCTGGGCACTGTAGTGGCAACGTTGTTACCTCAGTTTCAGGATTGGAAAAAGATTCCTTTCTAGCCATGCCCATCTAAAGCCCTTCCCCCTTGCACCCTGGGGTCCTCTGTGTAAAACCTTCAAGTGTTGCAAGAGATACTTGGGGGTGTCACTAAAGGGTGCTATTCTTAGGCTCTATAAAAATCACCCTTAACATTTTGAGAAGAACCAAAGCTCTGCTGGGTGCTCAGTAGCACGCGGGGCCCCAACTGTCCTGGTGCACAGGAGCGGTCCTCGTCCCCAGATGGCATTTCTTCCCAAGCAGCAGCCGCTCCCTCCCCACCGCTCCCTTACTGCACCTACTGGTCCCGGCACGGAAGAAGCTAACTCCGGAGCTCCTTCTAGAAAGTACCTGTCAATACGTATCAGGGGTACCGACATCTATGCATTAAACTGAAACAATTTAGCAACTTTCAAACATTTTGCTACAAGACTAGGAGACAAAACTTGTTTCCACTTTTCTTTCTAAGAAACGTAAATGTTACACAATTAAATGATTTTTGGTCAAGTAATTTTAAGGATTGAAATCCCAGAATATCTGAAATTTAAGAGTACCAAAAAAAAAAAAAAAAGGGGGGATCAAGACGGAAGCCGCCTAGGGCAGAGCCACCTTCTTCCCGCATTTTGGTCAGTCTTGGAGCCCTGGGTCACCGCAGCTGAGCGTCCAGAGTAGGGGGGATCCGAGAAGCGGCTCCGACGCTAAATCCAGGAACCGAGCGGGGCGCACCAGGGGCGGGCCCGGGGCGGTGACGCAGCGCGCAGGAGCGCCCACCCGGCCCGGCGCTCCGGACCCCGCCCCGCCGGCCCTCCGGACAGCAGGTCCGGCCCACACCCGCGAGGCCTGGGCCTCAAGCCCGCCCGGGCCTGTGCCCCGGCCCGCGCCCGCGCCCGCGCTCCCGGCCAGCTTGGGGTACCTGTCAGGACCGCAGGCCTCGCCCGGACCTCCGCCCGCACGACCCCCTCCGCCGCCCCTCGGTAGCGCCACGCCGTCGGCGGAGCTCAGGTGGCACCTCCTCCGCCGCCCCGGGCCGGCCCGCACCCGCGAGCCGCAGCGGCGCCGGCAGCAGAGGAGAAGCCGCGGCCGCCAGCGTTCATCACCCGGGCTGCGGCCGCCGCTCTCATGACAACCAGGCCGGCCGGGCCAGGACATCGCGCGTGCGCGACCCCACCCCGTTGCGCTGCGCATGCGCACAAGATAGGGCCCCCCCCCCCCCCCCGCCTTCGCTTCCCCGGGCTTTCTGGGTAATGGAGTTTCAGGAGGACGGCGCCTGCTCACAGGACGAGGTCGAGCCTCCGCTTCCCTGGCCACCTTGGTACCGGCGCTTTCGGTGACTGCACATGCGCACAAGGTGAGATCGCGCCTTCCTCTCTCGTGCCTTCTGGGTAATGTAGTTTCCGGGGACGGCGCGCGGCCTTCGTCACCTCAGCAGAGCCTACCCCGCGCAGACGCCAGGGGCCAGGGTGAGGCCCTGAGTATGTTTGCGGTGTTCCGGAAGCCCAAGACGTTCAAGCTGCGGGCCCTGCACAGCCAGAGCAAGTTTGGGGTGGCGGGCAGGAGCTGCGAGGAGGTGCTGCGGAAGGGGTGCCTCCACCTGCAGGTGCCCGCGGGGCGGGGGCTGGGCCGGGGGCTGGGTGCCTCCACTTGCAGGTGCCGGCGCTGGGCCGGAGGGCTGGGTGCTGCCGGGGGGCAGGGGACTGGTTGCCTCCACTCGCAGGTGCCGCGGGCCCGGACAGGGGCGAGGGCGTTGTGCCAGCTTGCCCAGAGTGTGCTGGGTTGGATGGGACAGTGCTGACCGTTCATCTTTTGCCACCGGGACTGGTGGAGCTCTGGCCGCGCCGAGCGCACAGTGTGTCACCGAGTCCTGACACGTCCTGGAAGGGGGGACTGTCCACGTCGCTCCCGCAGGCGGAGAACCCGAGCACGACCACAGTTGACGCCCTCCCCACCACGTAGCAGAACTCTAGGCGGGTACCCTCTCACTCTTCACGTGGGTTGTCACGGAGTCCATGACAAAATCCAGTGAATCGGTGAAAGGCCCTCATTCCACAGAGGAGGAAACTGAGGCTCGGAGCCACTAAGTAACCTGCCGTAGCTATGGAGTAAGGGGCCAGCGTTGAAACCCAGGACTAGCTAAGCTCAAAGCCCAAAGCTGGTCCCCGGGATCTTAGCAGAACCTCTGAGTGTGCATAGAGCTGCTGCGAGTGGGCGGAATTTGGGTCCTCCTCGGGCTTCCAGTGCTGCCTCGTGCACCCGGAGGTGCCACATCTCGGCAAGCAGCTTTAGTGAAGTCTCGGCCCTAGTGTTCGGGTGCTGATCTGCTTGGGAGAAATTTGGGAGAGTCAGAGGTGCTGCTTTTCCACTTCAAAGCCGGAGGGTGTGGGAGATGTCTGAGCTCCAGGGGATAAATCCCCATTTCGTGTGCTACCAGCAGGCAGTGGGCCTGACCCCTTGAGTCCCTAACTTCTTCCTCCAGCTCCTCAGCCCCATTCAGAGGGAGGGGGACTGTGGAGGGCATCTGGAACACCTCCCTCTTCTGACCCTGCGGGACGTGACAGCTCTGGCCTGACATTCAGGAACCTGGTTCTAGTGCACATCTGATAACTCGCTGTGTGCTGCCGAACACAGCCGCTTGGCCTCTGTGTGCCTCAGTTTCTCCTTGTGTGAAATGAAGGGGTTAGGCTCAGAGGCCTCTAAAGGCCCTTCCAGCACTAATGTCCTAGGGATTTCAGCCATCATTCTTGCTCATATTGTATTAGTTTCCTTGACTGGTCTTAGACCTGTGCTGGGGTTGTGAGTGTGTACATGTGTGGGGTAGTGGGTGGAGGAGGTGCTATAAAAATTCATGAAACTGATCAGTGTCAAGCAACAGAGAACCAAACCTCAGCAAACTAACGGTACTGTGTGCTGGTCACACTTCTGTAGACAGAAGCAATAAGTCATTTGCAGTAAGATGTTCTCCTTGATTGATCAGTGCCCAGGAAAAAACGAGGGCCTTAAGCGGGGGTGTCCTGACGAGGGGCCTCATTGATGGGATGTATTTACAGGCTTAGTGGAAGCAGGCATGCATCATTTTCAGAAACAGGCTTCTGTTTTAAGCGCCCTTGAGGAGCTCATCTTGAAAAGGTCCATGTGGTGAATCCCCAAAAGCAGTCACCAATGTATATGTATTTTTATGTGACTTTTCATATTTAGAATGCCCTACAGTGGGTGCCGTCATTTCGACACACTGATTCTTTAGACACTGAGTGCTTGTCTCAGGTGTTCGTCCTGCTGTAGCATGCAGAGCATGATTCTTTAAAACATAGTTCATTCTTGTTCTTTGTGAGGATTGCAGATGAATAGACCTCATGTTTCTGCTCCGAGGGTGGCCCACCTGAGACCACCCTTGTAAGTGTCCTGCCCTGCTCTCCCCTCTCTCCCCAGCTCCCTATTGCTGGCTCCCGCCTCTGCCTCTATGAAGATGGCACGGAGCTGACTGGAGATTACTTCTGGAGCATTCCTGACAACTCGGAGCTTGTGCTTCTCACCAAGGGCCAGACTTGGCAGGGCTGTAAGTGGTAGAGACCTTGGAGATTGGAGGGGAAGCAGGTGGGGCTATGGAGATGCTGAGGCAAAGGATCTGATAGATGTTTCTCTAAGGAAGATATAGAAATGGTCAATAAGCACGTGAAAAGGTGCTTGATGTCATTAGTCATCAGGGAATGCAAATCAAAGCCACAGTGAGATACCACTTCATACCCACTAGAATGATAACAGGTGCTGGTGAGGAGGTAGAGGAATTGGAACCCTCACACAAAATGGTGCAGCCACCGTGGAAAACACTCTGGCGGTCCTTTAAACTATTAAACAGAATCACCATGTGACCCAGACATTCTGTTACCGCCTACGAACATAGGTTCCCTACCCGCCACACAAGAGGTGCCAAATGATAACTGACACGCCAAACTGACGGCAAAGAAAGGGTTTTATTTTGGATGATGTCAGCCAGGAGACAGACGAGAGTGAGCCCTCAAACTCGTTTTGTCTCATCTCTTCTCATCTCCCTGAAAGATGGGAAGCAAGGTGTTTTAAAGGTTGCAAGGAATGTTTTTGCATGCGGGGCACGGTCGGGGTGGGGGGTATCTATGGCCTTGCTGTTCTGAGCTTTCCCCCGAGCCTGTGTTCAGCCTTGTAAGGCTGCTTACGGAGAGGAGGGTGATAAGGGAATCCTGGTGGCTGTTCTTGGTTGTCTGTCTCCATGGATAGTGGATTCTGGAGCCGGGAAGCCAGGGAGTAAGCAAGGAATGAGTGCTTTGGTTTTAACCCCATATATGCTGGGTTTAATGTAGGGGAACTGATGTCAGGGCCAGTATCAATTCCACTCCTAGGTATATACCCAAGAGAAATGAAAACACATGTCCGCATAAAAGCTTTTACCGGAATGTTCATAGCAGCTTTATTCATAATGGCCAAAAGGTGGAAACAATCCACATGTCCATTGATGGACAAATGGATAAACAAAATATAGTGTATTCTACAGCAGAGTATTATTTGACCATGAAAAGGAATGAAGTCCTGACCCACGCTACAACATGATGACCCTACAAAACATCATGCTCAGTGAAAGAAGCCAGTCACAAGAGGCCACTTAGAATATGGTTCCATCCATGTGAAGTGTCCAGAACAGAGAAGTCTGTAGAGACAGAAAGTAGATTAGTGGCTGTTTGGGGGATGGAGGGGGAGGAGGATTGCTGAAGGATACGAGGTACCTTTTTGAGGTGATGGAATGCTCTAAAATTGAATGTGGAGATGGTTGCACAACTCTGTGAATAACTAAAAACTGTTGAGTTGTACATTTTAAATGGGTGAATTGTAAGGAATGGAAATTAAATCTCAATAAAGTTGTTAAAAAGAAAAAGAAAAAGAAAAGAAACTGCCACGCTCTTTTCCAGAGCGGCTGTACCGTTTTACATTTCCGCTGTGGATGTATGCAAGATGCAGCCTCTCCAGCTGTTGGCGTTGTTGCTGTTTCTATTGTAGCTGTTCAGCTGGGTGTGCCGTAATGTCTCATTGTGGTCTTAATTTGCATTTCCCTAACGGCTATTGGTGGCGAGCATATTTTCCTGTGATCACTTGCATCTGTATATCCTCTTAGGTGAAATGTCTGTTCATGTCTTTTGTTATGTTCATGTCATTTTCTGATTGGATTTTTTTACTGTTGAGTTTTGAGTCTTTTCTAATATTCTGGATATGAGTCTCACCAGAGAGGTGGTTGGCAGACGTGCTCTCCTTCTCTGTAGCTTGTCTTTTCATTCTCCTGACAGGATCTTTCACAGAACAAACGTTTTTAACTTTGGTGAAGCCCAGCTTGTCCGCTTGTTTTGTCTCATGCTTCTGCTTTTGGAGTTAAGTCTGAGAATGCTTCATCGAGCCCAAGGTCCCGAAGGTTTTCTCCTCTGTTTTCTACATCAATTGCAAGGATGATGCAACTTTTCTTCTTTAGCCTGTTAAGGGCGCATTACACGGAGTGATTCCTGAGTACTGAACACCCTTGTGTCCTGGGTGACCGCGGCCATGGTGCACAGTGCATGTGTGCACTGCTGCCCTCTGTGCGAGGGCCATTAGGGCCTGGCCGACCCCGTGTGCACTGCTGCTTCTCTGTGAGGGCCGTTAGGGCCCGGCCGACCCCGTGTGCACTGCTGCTTCTGTGTGAGGCCGTGAGGGCCCGGCCGACTGGCTCCACGTGACACTGAGTGCTTGCTTGGAGGGCCGCTGCCTGGGCGTGTAGATCGGCTCCAGGAGAGAGCAGTGCAGTGATGGAAGGCCTGGAGAGGAGGCCCAAAAATGCGGTGCTTTTGTTTGTGAGGGAGAAGCCAGGAGGAAGGGCAGCCTTTTGGAGGGTGCTTTCATTTGCTAAAGTGTGTCCCGTACCTCCCCATGGTTCTCACACCGCCCTGTGGGAGGGCGGCCAGGCCCGAGGCCCAGAGGAATGGGCTGGTTGGTGTCACGACAGGGTCTGGGGCCTGGGACTTCCTTGAGGTGTGGTGGTCCCCAGGTGATGAGGTGGGTGACGTGGGGACAGCCCTTCCCTGGCTGGGTGGCATGTGTCTTCCTACGCAGTGCTCCAAGGACTCCTGGCTTTTCCCTTTGTCCCCCTTCTGGTGGCAGATGTGAGTGACATCAGTCACTTCCTCAGCGTGTTCCACAAGCCGCACGAGGGCCTCATCCAGGCCGCCCGGCAACTGCTCTCTGGCGAGCTGGCCCCGCTGCGGCAGAAGCTTCTGGTCGACCTGCTGCACACTGTCAGTGAGAACATCGCGGCTGAGACCCGGGCCGAGGACCCGCCGTGGTTCGAAGGTACCTTGTGGGTTCGAGGTCTGGGAGGGAGCTGGGAGTGGGAGGGCTTCCTCCGGCCGGACTCGCCTGGAGGACCCGGGTTCTGTTCCAGTTCCCGGAGTGAGGGGCTCCCCAGCAAGGGGCTTGCCTGGCTCCTCTGCTCATGGCTGGCCAGAGTCCGGGCAGCCCTGGGACTGGCCATTTACTTCTGTTTATTTTTTAATTGTGGAAAAGTATACATAACACAAAACTTACTATTTTAACCATTTTAAGTGTACTGTTCACTAGTGTTGGGCACATTCACGTTGTTGTGCAGCCGTCACCACTGTCCCAGCATAGAATGTGTTCATCTCCACACTGAAGCTCTGCCCATTGAACACCAACGCCCCCTCCCCCAGCCCCTGGCACCCACCATTCACTTTCTGTCTCTGTGACTTTGACTCCTCTGGGGATGTCGGATGGGTGGAACCATTCAGTATCTGTCCTGCTGTGACGGGCTGATTTCACTCAGCATGATGTTCTCAAGGTCCATTCGTGTTGTACTTTGTGTCAGAATTTCCTTCCTTTTTAAGGCTGAGTAATATTCCAGTGTATGGGGGATGACATCTTCTTTATCCGTTCATCCATCCATGGACACTTGGGTCGCTTCCACCTTTTGGACTGGCTTTTTGAGCCAGTGGAAGCAACCCTGAGAGTCTGCAGCCCTCTTAGAAGAGGGAGGCTTGAGGTGCCACATGCAGAAGCCCCTCAGTGGTGTTTGAGATGCTCCATGCTGGTGAAACAAAGAACCCTCCCCAAACACACGAAACCAGAGACTGTGCACAGCCCTCCAGGGTATTTCTCAGCCGAAGCGGTTCGACCCGCCCGGGAGAGGACAGACATGGGCTCCAGGGCTCTTCTCTTCTTCCTGGCAGGTTTGGAGTCCCGGTTTAGGAGTAAGTCCAGCTATCTGAGATACAGCTGCGAGAGCCGGATCCGGGGCTACCTGAGAGAGGTGGGTCCACGTTTGTGGCAGGTGCGCCGGGCGGTGTAGGAAGCCAGCTCTGCTGTCAGGAAGCTGCGGTCCCCAGGTGGGCGTGGGCACGCCGCTTCATGGGCCCTCTGGCACAGTTAGCACCTGCCTCCCCTCTCCTCCGAGCGTGGTGCTGGGATCTGTCCCCAGCTGCTGCCCTTTGGCTTGGGCTGCCGTGCCTGAGCCAGAGCAGCTTTCGTACGCCCTCCATTTTGCATGTAATTTTCCCTCTGGGTTCCGAATAGAGCTCACTTCGGAGTGTCTTCCTGTATCAGGTGCTTCACTTTTGACATGAACTTATCCCAAAGAAACATCTCTTTGTCCCCCGTTAGCTCTGACGGATGCCACACAGCAGACAGCTGCTTCTCGCTTTTCTCTCTGTGGCAAAGTACGGTTGTGTGAGCTCTGACAAGAGCTGGAAGGGCCCTGAGCAGTTGTGGGTCGGAGCTCCGACTCTGTGCGCTTTCTCCTCCGGGAGGCGTGAGAAGTAGGCTGATGTACATGTAAAGCTGAGACGCTCCCAGTGGAAACAGCGTTGCACCTCCAAGAAGAAATGAGTCCTTGGGTCCAGGGCCCGATGTGGTCTCTGTTCCACTTCCCTTTCCACAAGGAGCAGACCTAGCTGACAGGTGAAGTGCAGGGGAGAGGATGCCGCGGGGAGCCGGGCCTGCTGGGGACAAGGGAACGCGGTCCTGTCTGGGGGACAGTCTGGCTGCGGGGAGCCTGCACTTTTTCATGAGTCTGGGTTCGGTGCAGCTCCTTTCAGGCCTGTTACAGTAGGACAGATAGAGGAGGGGTGCATTTTGGGGCAGCTTCAAGAAGGGGTTCTGGGCCCTGACCTCTTTAAGATAAATACACGCACACACAGACACACACAGACACACACACACACACACACACACACACACACACACACACGTCGGTTCCTCAGAATGTGCTGGCTCCAAGAGCCGAGGCTGCATGTCTACTGCCGCTGTTTCTGCCCTCTGAGCCGGGCCCACTGTGGCCGGCTGGGGGCCAGGCGCCTCCCACCGAGCCGGTGGGGCTTTGTCTGTTTTAACAGCACTGCTGCCCCTAAGCTCAGTGGTCGGAAGTCAGTCCTGAGGCTGTCTTGCCCCCTAACCTTGTAGATGGCTCTCACCCCCATGCCTGACTCTCCACACCCAGGCACGTGTCTTGGACTAAATTTTAATGTTTGTGGTAGAAAACCGCCCAGAGCTAGTGCTCCATTGAGATCCTGTGACGCAGAAGGAAGCCTCAGGAGTGGGTGTCTGCGGCCCTGTGTCCCAGCCCAGCTCCCTGTCGCTGCCCCTGTCACTGTCTGACCGTGGCCGCCCTGGTCCAGCCCCGCTCGCTCCACCTCCTGCTGGTGCCGAGAGCGTGCTTCCCGCACTGGCCAACCCGGCCCGTCTCCAGGCCGGTGCCAACCCTCTGTACTGTGTTAACATGCCTGCTGTCCTGTCGCTCCCAGGAGCTCATCAGGGAGGGGACAGTGGTCTCCTGGCCTCTGCCTGGTGCTCAGCACAGGCTTGGGTGCACCCAGCGTGCGAGTCTCCACCTGCATTTGAGTGGGCAGTGTGGGAGGCGGGGTGGGCGATGGTGACGCAGGGGCTGCTCCTCGAGTTTCTTCCCAGGCAGCACTGACGAGTGCCAGGGAGCCGGGGTGGCCAGGCTGCCCAAAGTTTGAGCGTGTTCTCTGCCCAACTGTGACCCAAGCTCCGTCTCATGGGCCCAGAGAAATTTTGCAGGGTTGGGCAGCCATGGTGTGTGTGAACTCAGAGCCTCTGACTGCAGGGCGGTGCCGGGCCCTCAGGCGCCAGGGTCTCTGAGGGCCGTGGTGTGAATGGATGGGAGCCGACGGTGGGTTTCAGGCATGGTGCACCAGTGTTCAGCGATGTCCCTTGGTTTCTTGAAGGTGGGCGCTTACTCCTCCCTGGTCGGCGCCGAGGCTCAGGAGGAGTATGTGCAGATCGTCGAGGCCATGTCCCGGAGGCTCAGGGCTATGAGTTACAATGGCAGCTACTTCGACAGAGGAGCTAAGGCAAGCCGGCTCTGCACGCCGGAAGGCTGGTTCTCCTGCCAGGTGAGCTGCGTGCTGTTTATCCTGGGGCCACCTGGTGCCTGCTGAGCCAGCCCTCCCGTGGCGAGGTAGGCGAGGACAGTCCTCCTTGGCCTGCCTGGGCAAGGCCTCATGAGGGGCAGCCCTCTGGGGAACAGCTCACGTTCAAGTGACCTTTGTGAGGACAGGCAGCCCACACCTCCTTCTTGCCGCCTCCCCCGGTTTCACTGCTGTGATTGCCAGGTTGGTCTAGCCTTCGGTGCTGATGACATCGGGGCTTTGGCGAGTGCTCGGCCCCCTGGGCTGTGGAGAGCACCTGAAGTGGGGCCTCTTGCCATTTACAAGCTGCAAATTGCATCTCCAGTAAAATCCCCTCCCGCGCTGGTGGTCTTCATAGCGCCACTGAGAGGTTGCGGAGCAGGATCCAGGGCAGGCATGGCCCCCCGCCCACAGACAGGCTCCTCGTGCTTCTGCCCTGGCAGTTCTTCCCATGGGTGATGCGCTCTGACCATCAAAACACTTCTTTCCAGCGGCTTCAGTGTGGACTTCAAATGAGCTCACCTGCTCTCAGTGGGTGTTCCCGGAGCCAGGCACAGCGAGGGGGACAAAGATGACTGACCTCGCCCTGACCTTGGGAGGCTCTAGGTCAAAGGCGTGTGCCAGTGAGGGCAGTGGGCTTCGTGCAGGGAGGCTGTGAAGGCCCCCGGCGGATGGGCCAGTCCTCTTGGGTGGAGTGGAGTTGGGGCTTCAGTGGGGAGGTGACGCTTTAGGGCGGAGTTGACGGATATGTGGGAGTCGGGGTGAGTGGGTAGTCCCTGTGAGGGGACTGGGTGGGCCCTGGCACAGAGGTGGGAGGCAGTGCACTCTGTGGGGTGACTGGCAGGTAGGTGGTGGGTGGGGCCATGGCCCGCAGCCCACATTGGACACGTGTCTGTGAACAAGTGGCTGAGCGTGCTGAATGGCCAGTTCTCAGGGCACCTTCAGCAGGGCACCCAGACTCTGTTTGAGCCTCTCCGCTGGCCAGTCTGTGTTGGGATGATGGGGAAATGTGGGGAAGCCATGTGGAGCAGACAGGAAGGGAACAGCCAGCGTGTGGGTCCTGGCCCCGCCCCCACTGGTGTGGGCCTCCGTTTCCATGAGGATGGCTGGAGACAATGGGTTTGTCTGGGTGTGGAGACACACACAGAGGCACACAGTAAAGGAAGCTGGTGTTCCTAACAATGGAGAACGAACTTGTCCCCTTTGCAAATGCAGAATGTCATGCTAGGATAACGAGGGATGCCCCTCCAAAGGTAGAATTCCTAATCGCCCCAAACAGGAGGCCATTTATCAGGGACTGACCCCCTCCTAGCTGGGCCTCCTTCTTCAGCAAATCCTCCAGCTGGCTGTGAGACTGGCGGCTCAGAAGTCACTCGTGGCCTTCACCTTGTTCCGTTTTGGCCCAGGGTCCTTTTGACGTGGACGACTGTGTGTCTAAGCACTCCATCAACCCCTACAGCAACAGGGAGAGCCGGGTCCTCTTCAGCACCTGGAACCTGGACCACGTGTGAGTGCGCGTTCCGCAGCGTCAGGAGTCTTCATCCTGGAGAACCACGTTCACTAACCCAAAGAGCGCCCACTGGAGGCTGTCCCTGCCGCGGTGCCCCTGGCTCGCCGGCTCCCTTGTGTTCACGTGCTGAGCTCGTGGGTTACGGACCCAAAGGTGTCATGGGTGGGCAGGGTGTTAGGGGCTGCTGGGCGCACACTGTGCATCTGCCCCTAACCCGCATGATGGGGTGTCATCCAGTGGCCGGTGGGCTCTGACAGGAGCTGGCCCAGATCTCCGTCCACATCTGTGTGACCTTGCGAGTGTCCCCTCTCTCACCTCCAGCTCCCACCTGTGGATGGAGTTGGTGGTCTGCATGCCTGCTTCGCAGGGCTGTGGGAGGAGGGGCCTTGCAGGGCCCAGTAAGCGGCTGTCACGGGTACTGCACCGTGAGGGCATCTCCTGTCTCAACCAGGCTGTGCTCAGAGAGCAGAAACTCTCGGCTGCTGGAATGTGTAGGGCAGCTCCTGCTTGAACCAGGATGAGCTAAGGTCTTGGCCAGCAGGATTGTTTTTATAACTATACTAGCTCATTCTATAAAAAGGGCAGAAATGGAAAATTTTATTATTGTAACTGAGACGCTTTCCTTGAATAGACAGTCATGTGCCACACAATGACATCTGGGTCAGCGATGGACTATATGTATGGTGCTGGTCCCACAAGATCAGTGCCATAGAGCCTAGGTGTGTGGCAGGCTCTACATCTCAGTTTGTGTGAGGGCATTCTGTGATGTTTGCACAGTGACAAAATCGCCTAACAGTGCGTTTCTCAGAACGCATCCCCGTCGTTAAGTGACACACGACTGTAATTGTATCCTTGCCCCGCTTTCTGAAGAAAGATCTTCAGATGCCCCTAAAATGGCTGGCTACAGTTGAGGCCCCCTTTCACCTGTCTGTAGTTAGCCCCTCCCCACCCTCAGGGACCGCTGTCCTGAGATGTGTGTGTCCTTCTGATACCTGTTTATGCACCTTTCCCATATGCGTTTGTGTTTAAAATACACTTCACGGAGCCTCGCCCGCTGTGCTTTTCCACACCACGCTGGGCGACACTGGTGCGTTTGTAGCTTTGCAACATTCATTTCACCAGTGCAGAGTGCTTCACTTCTTGACTCCAATTTTAACATCCATTTCCATATGTAGGCACGTAGGTTCTGTCCCCTGAGTGGGGTGCCTAGACGTGGACAGCGTCTGGAGGTGGCATCGTTGTCCTCACTCCCCGTCCTGCACGGTGTCACATGGACTGTTGGCTGCCCGGCTGATTGGTACCCTGAACAAAATGCTTGTGTGTTTCGTGGTCAATGCTCAGGTATATTCAGCAACATGTTGACCCGTGTCTGCCTGCATCTCACGTCTGGTTTCCCTTCTCACGTACAACGTGCTGCCTTCAGCATTTCTCTCATGAGGGTGTGAGGGGTCCACGGCCTCGCTGAGCGACCGTTTACTGAAGTGATTCTGGGTCGACAGGTGTCCTACCTTCAGAGCTTCCCAGACGTGACTCCAGTGTCTTCTGTGCTCGAGAAGCCTGCTGTCAGTCTGATCTCTGCCTTTTTTATGGCAGTTTTAGATTTTCCCTTTCTCTTTGAACATGATGTATCTAGGTGTAGGTCTTTATTTTAAATTCTGACTGGGATGTGTATTCTTTGTTCTGAAGACACGTTCTTCTTTAATTTTGGAAAATTCTTCAGCATTTATTAGTATTGCTTTCCTGATTCCCCCATTCAGTTTCTCTGGAACTCTCGCCGGCCGGGTGCTGGACCTTCTGGTTCTGTCCCCGTGTGCTGTGCCTGCTCTGTCATGTTTCCAGCTCTGCTGCTATGTTGCTGCTGACTTCCTGCCATGCACTGAACTGTGTCCCCAGAATTCACATGTTGACACCCTAATCCCTGATGTGACCATATCTGGGGATGGGACCTTCAAGAGGAGACTAAGGTTACATGAGGTCATAAGGGTGGGGCCCTGATCCCACAGGATGGTAGTCTTCTAAGAAGAGGAAGAGAGCTCTCTCTCTGCCATGTGAGGACACGTGAGAAGGCAGCCGCCCGGGAGCCAGGAGGAGGGCCCTCACGGGAACCCACCCCTGCTGGCTCCCTGGCCTCAGACTGCCAGCCTCCAGAACTGTGGGGAAATTCTTGTTGTTTAAGCCGGCCTGTCGGGGGCGTTTTGTTTCGGCAGCCTGAGCTGACTGTGCACGTCCTGTGTGGCTCAGTGCACTGATTCTCTCTTCACCTCCAATGCATTCACTCTGCCCGTTGAGGACGTATTTCCTGCCTGGAAGTGGGTTCTTTTTAAAACAAGCCTTTTCATACCAGTTGTTCTGCCACAAGCCCAGCTGGGCTAGGATGGCGGGGTATCATGCCGAGAGACCAAAGAAACGACCCGGAGACTGCGAACGAGACATATAGGTTTATTGGGACTGACTTACAGGGAGTGTCCAGTGGCGGCTGGCTGGACGGAAGTGTGCACCCGCATCTGCCCCCTGAGAGAAGCTTGCTTAAGTAGGCACAGGAACAAAGGCTGCATGCTTGCCAGAGGGCTGTCCTTGGTACGACCAGCGGTCCCAGGAACAGAAGCTCACATGGAGGGGCTCTGTGTCCCCGTAAGACATGATGTTCTTGTGGGATAAAGGAGGATCCGGGCTGGCCAGGCCCAGATGGTTACAAAGCCCGGTAGCTGGACTGCCTGCCCAGAGGGGAACCAGAAGGACACACAGTTGCAATGGGCCTGAGGGTTTCTGCTGAGTAAGCAAGGCCCAGGCCCCACACCAGTCTTTTAAGTCACTTTAATCATTCATTTTAAGCATATTTATTTTGTGGTTGTGCGTGAAGAACGTAACTGCCCAAAGAGAGGTCTGGCCTTTGTCCCCGACCCCTGGGAAGTCACACCCCAGCCCTTGGAGTCTCCTGCCTGTTGGTGTCATTGTTCACCTGGGGCCATGGGTCCCTGGACAGGCTAACAGTGTGGTTAGGGTGGGGGCTTTGGGCTGCCTGTTTCAACTTGACCTCTGGGAGGGCTGGAGATGAGGTCAGCCACTTGGGTGGTCAGCCATGCCCATGTGACAGAGTCAGAGAAGACTCTGGACACTGAGGCTTGGGGGAGCATCCCTGGCTGGTGATACTCCACATGTGGTCACCACTGCTGCCGGGAGGAGTTAGCACTGTCCTCGCCTCACTGGAAGCTGCCAGACCTTTCCTAGGCTCTGCTCTGTGCCTCCCTTCCCTTGGATGATTTTAATCTGCATCCTTACCTTGTGATTAAGCCATAACCATGAGTATAACAGCTTTCAGGGGCTTCTGAGTCCTTTTAACAAATTATTGAACCTGAGGGTGGTCTTGGGAGCCAGTTACAGATGGTGTCAGAAGTGGGGGAGGTCTCGGGGATGTTCCCTGACCTCTTGGTGGTCTCCTTCAGATGCTTCTAGCCTGTGGCTCTTGGGGGTACTGCCGTTGGCTGCGCCTCTCCTGCCCATTGCAGTCTGTTCCTTATGCTGTTTGTGTGTCTGGAGTTGGAGTTCATCCTCAGTGGGAACTGTGTTTTCTGTAGACATCCTTCGTGCGCTGGCTTCTCAGAGTATCCCTACAGAGCGGCTTGCATTTGTTTCTGCCAGAAGCCCAGGGCTTTCAGTGGTTCCGAAACAACTGCATGTAATTTCTTGCTTGTGGCTCCCATACCGCGTGGTGACGTACAGTTGCTCTGTGCGCCTGTGTGAGAGGTGGGCCGAGGGTCCTGGTTTTCCGGTGACTGTGGAAGCCGGTTACACTAACAGTTCCCCGTGAGTCACACCTCCTGGTGTCCTTGCCTTGTGTGTTCCCTGCGCCCCACTCCCAACACTGAATCAGTTTCGCCGTGGGACTCCAGCAGACTGGACACACATGGGGGACACAGATGGGGGCCTGATAAGTGCTTGCACAGAGGAGCTTGTCCTCTTTGAATGCTGCCATCACCACATGAGGGAGCCTGACCTGGCCTCCTTGAGGACAAAAGACCCCATGGAGAAGGGCCAGCCCCCAGCCAACCGTCCAGCAGAGTGCAGCCGCATCATTAGGCCAGGAAAACCAGCAGAAGCCCTGCCAGGCCTGCCCACAGAAACCACTAAGTTTTGGGGGGCTGGTTATGAGCAATAGGTAATTGACAGTGGCTTCTCCTCCCTCCTCCCCAAGTCCTGGACTCCCCTGCAGCTTCTCTATTCCCCTGTAATGAGGGGAGCAGGGGTCTCAGTCCCACCCACCCTGGCCTCTCTCAGGACCAGAACCCTGGTGAGCAGCTGAAGGGGGGCTTGCCCCATGGATCAAGCACTGGTTTCTCTGTTGCTGGCAGCTGAGAAGCCGCCTCTTTTCTTTTGATCTATGTATTTTTTATAAAAAGGTGCCTTTGATTGCGTATTTCCCGGTCCTGTAGGGGAGAGGAATCAGTCTGGGCCGCGCTGTTGCCACCAGCCCTTCCAGCTGTGGGATTGCCAGTTCCGTCTTGCCAGGTTACAAGCTTTTACACTGGCTATTGCACAGCTTTTTGAATTGTTTGTTTATATGTGAAACAAGTTTACACAAAACACGTAACTGTTCTGAGTGGTCACACGTATGCATATACAAGCATAAGATTAGGACTAGGAACACTTACCAGTGCTCATGGGAGATTGTCCCTGGGGGGGGCCAGTGAGGTTAAAGGTGGAAGTCAGAGGGGACTTTGGCCTTACTGTAAGGTTCTATTTAAAAGTGTTCAGATAGCATTGTGCAATGTTTTGGTAAATCTACACATAGGTAAAAGTGTGGAAGCAAGCAGGCCAAATTGTTGTTGGGGAGTAATTGTGATGGGAATACGGTTGACTCCCATTTTTTCCTGTGTACTTTTCTGTATTGAAAAATATAAGCACCAATCCAATTTTAAAAAGTGAGACGAAGGAAAGTTGCTTGCATCGGGCTCTGCCAGGCAGACCTGGCCAGCAGGCGTGGCGACACTCAGTGATGACGCTTGGAGAAGCGCGTGAAGGAATGTCCCCAGTGCTCCTCCTGCTGACAGCTCATGAGGCCTCTCTGTGTCCTTGCCGCCCTGCTCCCTCTGGGGTTTCCAAGGTGGTTCCTTTTGAAATCTTAACAATTTTACTCGTCTTTTCCTGTAAGCAGCCAAACATGGTTTTATGTTTTAGCTACAACAACCAAATAGAAACTATATTTAACTGGCTCTGTGGCTTAATAGGAAACATGCCTCGGCAGGTGCTGTGGGATTGTGACAACAGAAAGTGACCGTCTCTAACTTTCTTTTGCAGAATAGAGAAGAAACGCACCATTGTTCCCACGCTGGCTGAAGCGATTAAAGAACAAGATGGAAGAGAAATAGACTGGGAGTATTTTTACAGCCTGCTTTTTACCTCGGAGAATCTAAAGTTAGTTCACATTGCCTGCCATAAGAAAACCAACCACAAACTCAGCTGCGACCCAGACAGAATCTACAAACCCCTGACAAAGCCAAAGAGGAAGCGGCCTGCTAAAAAGTGCCCGTGACCTGGGCACACACCTTGACCTCACGCATGGCCTGACAGTGTGTGGGTAATTTTAATAGGTGCTAATTAATTTTGGTCACTCCAGTAGTCTCTGGAAGAAAACTTAAAAAAAAATCTTTCTACAAATTCTGACTCCAGTATCTTTCTGCCTCTGTCTTCTGCACCTCTGAGAGCCCAGCTGCCAGAGGCCCAGTGTGGTGTGCTCCCTGGCGCCTGTGCGTCCTGGGAGTGCCAGCTGGCAGGGTCGGGAACAGTCCCTGTGCTCAGGAATCCTTTCCTCCTCTGACGTCACCACTGGTGTGTATGCTCCTGTAGCGTCTCCATCCTAAAACGGCCTCACGGCCAAACCTGGCCACTCTTGAGGGACCAGTTGTTTATGCGCCAGCTCTCTGCTGCTGCGTTTCCATCTGCCTTGGAGAGCTCCATCCTCTGGACTCTTCTAAATGCTCAAGAAACAGCTGTGACCCTTTTGGGGTAAAGTGTTGTACTCCATAAAGAACATACAAGGATAGTCATTGTTGTGTTATTTCTAATGCATTCTTTATAATGGCAAAAGCAGAAAACTCTCCAAATGTCTGTCTGTGGGGAAAGGCTGATGGGGGCCTCCTGTTGAACCATGTGAAACTGCTGTTTCTGTAGGTTAAAAAGGGTCAGACATCACTGATTTCATGATTCAACCTAATACGTCTATAAAATGCAAAACTATGTAGCAGTTTTAAGTGTTTATGTACGGAAATGGGGAGCTGTCTGTTAAATGCATGAGGCAAGCGCTTAACCAGGCAGAGTAGGAGCCGTTGGTTTTATAAAAGGTTCTGAGTGTATGTCACATGTATGACAATGCATACAGAGACAGCCTGCAAGGAAACACACCATCTGTGAATGGCAGTAATCCTGGGGGACAAGGTTGGGGTCCGAGTGGATTACAAAGGACTCATTTTATAAATTGTGTATTTTATAATACTTGAAGTTTTTGAAATGAGCATTTCATAATTTAAAAAAATTTAAAGTCAATGTTTTGTACTATTTGAATTTTTACATTTATTGTATAATCAGAAAAAGCAATAAAGATTTTTATTAAATAGGCATGTCAAAAGAGTTTGCAATCATTGATAATGACAAAAATAAGGATAAAAATAAGGGGTCAATGATTTTTAAAAGATTAACCCAATCGTCCCGTTTTCTTCTCTGAAATATAGAAACACCTTAGAATGAGCCAGTTCTAGATGCAGAATTTTAGAAGTTCCGTCTGATTAAGTGGCGTTTATCTGTCTGATCAGGAAGTGCGGAGGGCGAGCTGGCGCCCAGGACGCCTGGATCCTCTCCCCATGTCCCTCGTGCCCAGGCCAAACTCTCCAGAGCTCAGCAGCTGCCATCTGTGCAGTGAGGGGCTGGGCTGGGCCCGGCAGCCTCCAAGCTCCTCCAGCTCCTTCACTGAGTTTGGGGAAGGGCTATCCTGCTCTCCGGGGCCGGAAGTCCCCTTTCTGCGGCGCGTCTTTGTCAGAGCCTTTCCTGACGGCCGTCTTGGTAGAGTTGTTCTAGTGGACGCTCCTTCTCCCACACAGGAGAGTGACAGTGCCCCCGCCTCGCCACGGGACACACAGGGCTGCTGCCCCTCCACCAGCAGGCTCCGGGTGCCACGCCCATCGCTGGGCTCTGTGACATTGGCTCTGTTAGGGCTTTTCCCGCCTTCACTGCTGTCGGCTCCTGTACCTGTTTCTCCTGCCCTTCCTAACCTGCAGTTGCATCTCCGCCACGGCAGGAAACCAGAAATGCGCTCTGCCCGAAGCTCTGTGCAGACAGGCGCCTTCGAGCAGGAGCTGCAAGGCTCTCCCGGTGTGACATTGTTTGTTGTTTTCCACTTGCTTCCAGGCCCTGAGCTTGGGTGCTGGGCGACTGTGATTGGCGAGAGGCGTCACCAGTCAGGAGTTATGTTACCCAAACCCTCAGACTCCCAGGTTAGAGGAGGTAGCTGAACCTCTTTGCAAAACATGGGCTTATGGTCTGTCCATTCTCAACAAAAGGAAAGAAGAAAAATCTTGGAGCTGGGAGTGTATAGTCGTGTGATCTGTGGGTGCTGAAGAAACTCCTGTGAGATCCAGGCACCGAGTCCCCCACTGCTGGAAGGCCCTGGCGGCAGTGATGGGCTTCCAAGGAAAAGCCCGGTGGGTGGCCTTCACAAGGCCTCAAGTGGCTGCGTCCCAGGCTCTATTGTGTCGCAAGGCTGTGGTGAGCAGAGCTCCTGCAGCTTACAGGAGGAAGGGAGCCAGGCAGCCAGCCTCTGATGGGGCTGCGAGGGGGCAGAGGGTGCTGAGATGGAGAGCGCGGGCAGAGACTGCGTAAGCAAAGGGAGGCCCAGGAGGGAGCTGGCTCTTCAGGGGCTGAGGGTGAGGAGGTGTGTCAGTCCTGGGAGGGGCGGCAGGCTGAAGGGTGTGAGGAGGGGGAGGGGTGTCCACGAGGTGAGACTCCAGGCCGCACTGCAAACTGAGGCCAGGGCAAAGAGTGGGTTTAATTCCAGATGCCCTAGAAGCACTGGAAGGGCTTTAGGGAGGGAGCCTGACTTACATCTTAAACCCTGCCCCTTCCATAGAAAGGCCTGTTTTCAGGGCTGCCTTGACTCCTCCTGGGGGTGCCCTGAGCCCTTGGACGCTCCTGCAGAGGAGTGTCTTTGTATGCCCGAGGACTGGGCCCCTCTCTCTACTGACCTGGGGGCTGGAGTCTGAGCAGCTAAGTTCCTCAGATGGGCACTCCATGCCTACGTAGCTGACCCCCAATAAAACGCTGGGCCCTGAGGCCCGGGGGAGCCTCCTCAGCTGCAACACTTCACACGTGTAGTCCCCCATCATGGCCGTCTCCATGTGACTCCACGGGAGAGACACCTGAAGCCTGTGACGGGTCTCTCCTGGACTCTGCCCCATGCGCCTTTTCCCTCTGCTGTCTTTAATCTGTGTCCTTTCCATAGACAAACGGTGACCGTGAGTATAACGGCTCTCCTGAGTCCTGTGTGTTCTGTGAATTGTTGAGCCTGAGGCTGGGCTCGGGGCCCTATGCAGACCTGCATGAGGGAGGAAGACATCCACAGCTTATTGTGGTCCTCAGCTCTGCGGGAGTAGACTTCCAGGGGGCATGCACGTATTCTGTACCGCTCAAGCACTCTAGTCCTTTCGTGAAGACCCATGTTACAGAGTGCTTCTAAAAATGTGCATCTGTCGCGCAGCCCGGCCTCTGGCAGTAGCCTAGGTCAGGCAGTCACTTCACATGCTGGCAGAACGCATCATTGGAATACCCACAGTTAGAGTGATTTTAACATCTACTTTAATATGCTTTTTGGGATGTCATCCTTAGGGCTTATCCTACATTCCTTTTGTATTGCTGGTCCTCAGTCATCCTGAACTGGCCTCAGCGTAACGTTTCTGTTGTGCTGTTGGCACTGTGGGCACAGAGTGGGTCTCCTGATGCTCCACGAGGCTCCGGAACCACCACAGCCTGTGCGGCTCCTCACCTAGTGTTTCCACCTGGGGACATTTCACTCTCAGTCGAGGGTGACCATCACGGATACAGATTTGCCACCTCCGCCACTTTCTCAACACCAGAGATGCCACATGGAGTTTTCTGCACCTCAAAAACTCTTCAACTACCATGTGAAATGACAGAGCTTTGATTCAGCGGAGCCCGCTGCTGCTGCAGCTGCCGCGTTCTCGGTGGGTAGAAGGGAAGCGCCCGCACACGCCGCGGCCTCCTTCCCAGACGCCGCTGAGAAGCCTCGGCAGACGGGAGGCTGTCTCCCCGCTGACGCTCCCGTCAGTGCAGGTTGGAAACTTCGAGTGAGGGAGGGTGGTCGTCCTTGGAGTGAACAGTTTTCATTTCCCACTTTGCTGGAGCATAACCTGGCGTCTCTTCCGCAGGTGTGCTGGGATTCAGGACGATGCTTCTCCCCGGGGACAGTGTGCAGGGAAGACAAAATTGCCACACTGAGGCAGCTCGAGCACGACGGGTCCAGGTGCAGTGATTAACGGTCGTTCCTGCGTGATCTCAAGCTATAAATTATTTCCCCTGGCTGCTATCAAGAGGCTTTTACAAGCAACATTTTCAAATTACTAAATATAGAGTAGTTCACTGATCAATAAATCACCAAATTATTCAGAGTAGGCAAAGGTCACAGCTGCTAATGGGAAAATGATCCCATCGGAAGCAAAGAACGCCGGCTGGGGAGAGTCTTTCTGGCAGGGCAGGTGGGGCCATCAGGGAGCTGAAACATCCCTTACAGGGCACTTCAACTGCATTTTGCCCCCAATTATCTCTTACGTAAAATACTTCTGTGTTTCACAGTTGAATGGGGTACATCTAGCTGCTGTTATAACTAAACCAGAAACATGTAAACAGTCAGACTCTGTTGCTCACTCAGGGAGATGCAACACGGTCCTGCTGCCTTGCAGGCAGCTTTCCTCCTTGTTTCGGGTCATCTGGGAACCTGGCTCCCACCTGGACCCTCTCACCTCCTGGATGCTCCTCCTCCTGCGCGCTCTCCAGTCCTAGGCCCGGTGTGGTCTCTGCACGCAGCTGGTGGCAGTCAGAGGCATGCAGAGCACACCTGTGCTGCTCTCCACAGTGCACAGGCGAGAATGCACCACAGGCGCTCCTGGAAGCAAGGGGGACTGGGCAGTGCAGTCTCTGGCGGGGCGCTGTGCCTGTGACCCTCCACAGCACGGAGGAGAGCGCGGCGCTCGCGCGACGGCTAGCCTCCCCACCCCACGGGGCGAAGAGTGTGCGGAACACCTCTGCTGTCTCAGAAATCCCAGACCTACACCAGAGGTCACATCCCTTCAAGGTCACAGCTCTGCTCTTAACTCTTGGGCCGCACGGGGCCTCCCCCCGCTGGTGTGCAGGCACATGGGCTGGCCCAGACATACAAGCAGACGGCACGACCGCACTTGTTCTCTCCCCTCGCTCTCCAACGTTTTCGAAAGGAATACAGCTTTGGGGACATAACTTCTTTAGAAATATTTTTAAAATATATTTTATTTCTTTCCCATATGTATTTTGCAAAATTTATAAGGTAAACATTAGCTTCATATACAGAAATAAAGAAGAGTTCTTTAAGAACTGGCATTAAATCAATCACAAGAATGATCAAATTTTGATAAAGGAAAATAAACTTGCATATTTTCAAAACTAAAGAGCTTAAGTGAAGAGTTTTCTTTACAAAGATCTCTCTCATTTAACCCCAAGCCCCCTCAGTGTACTCACCATCATCACATATGTACAGACATGAGAAAATAGCTCCGTGTGGAGACAGCAGCTTGACACCCACTCTCAAAGATCACTAGTTCACATGTGTCGCTCTCCCCAAAGGTATCCGGTGTTCCGCACTGCTGACTTTCATGAGTCAGTTTTGAAGTCTGATTCAGAATATGTTCTCTTGGAGATAAATTTTATACAAATCCCATAATCTGCTCAATTGTCAAACTGTTAACTATACTGAATATGCAAAGAAATCGTCGTGTATACTTTATTCTCTACATTTCCGCGTCGTCGTCGTCGTCGTCGTCGTCTTTGGCTCTGAAATGCATCTTCCTGAATTCTCGCCTGCTCATTGAGGGACACGAGGAAGACGCCGGTGGAAGGTCCTTGGGGGAAGGAAACATCCAGTGAGTCAGCCAGCTTCAGTCACCGTGACCCCGTGTTAGCGCCTGGGGGTGGTTCGGCCCTCTCCCAGGGCTGGGTCCTGCAGGATGGCCCTCCCCTGCAGACGGGGAAGTGACCGAGGCAGAGCACCTCTCTCCTGAGGACGGTTCATTCCCTATCAGGTCGACTGAGGGAAAGGCAGCGGGTTAAAGACAAAAGGAGCCCAGCAAGCGTGGGGTAGCTATTCACAAAACCATAGGCACGATTCACAACCCTGCACAGGGTCCAGGGACAGCCTGTCCACACCCACCCCCACCCGAGGGCTGTGGGCAGAGACAGGGCCTGCAGTAGCCGCTCACCATGGCAACGAGTCCCAGCTTGGGAGAGGGAAGGAGTGCCCGAAATGAGCAAATGTTTGGTTTTCTCCTTCGGAGTTAAAATTATGATTGTGCATTTGAC